TTTATCAATAAATATTAATCGCTGGATTGCGAAATGTTGACATTCAAAAAACAAGTGATCTAATGATTGATCTTCGTCGGCAGAACAATAATCACATATAGGAGACGAAACCATTTTCATCCTATGCAAATGCTTTTTATATCTTCCATGTCCAATTCTAAGACGACATAAAATTGAATAAAATTTTCTTTCCACATATTTTCCTTGAACGAACCATGGCGTTTTAAATTCTTGCTGTATTTCTCTGAACCATTTCCCTTTAACTTTTATGGATTCTTCCCACTGTTGTTTCCATTTAGTTTTAATTGTTTTTCTTATTTCAACGATAAAATCTGAAGCTGGGATTAACATGTATTTTTCTTTTCCTTGAATTTGACAGTTTGTGATGAACCTAGCCAGTTCATCAGCTTTTTCGTTGCCAGTGACATCAACGTGAGCTGGAGTCCAGATAAGATTAATATCCATATTAAGCCGTTTTTTAAAATCATATATTTTCCTTTGAATATTTTGTATAACGAAAGATGTTTTACTAGAAGAAACATTCGCAAGGGCCAACAAGACACTCATGCTGTCCGTTAATATGACCCATTTATCATTATTGTTCGTTTCACCAATATAGTCTAGCGCTGAGATAATAGCGTAAGCTTCAGCAGTAAATATGCTCGATTTATTCGATATTTTTGTACCGAATGATATTTTTTCCTTGGCATCATAAACAGCAATAGCCGTGCAGTCTTTATTTTTAGCACCATCCGTATACATATGCCTATAATTGTTCCATTGAGATATGTAATCATAGACATCATATTTATTATGTAAATTCTTATTTATAAAAATGGGGGTTTTAAAAAAATTACAATCATATGGATTGCTATTGTGAACTAATTTCTGATTAATAAATATGTTGGAGTTATGTAGACTTTTAATAATTTCAGTTATATTATTAGAGAGGAAATTATTAGGAGAGGATGGATTTTTTAATTTATGTAATAATTGGTTATCATGAACAGAATAAAGTTTCAGTAAAAACATAAGTTTTAGCAATTCAAAACGTAACGGCAATGGGGGTATATTACATTCAACTTGCAACGAATTTATTGGTGATGTGCTCATGGCTCCCAAAATTAATCTTAAATTTATATTTTGGAGTTTTTCTAATTTATCAACATATTTTTCTTTGTTACAAAAACAGAAGAACGCATATTCAAAATGCGTTCGAACCAGCGACTTGTAAAGAATTAACAGAATTTTAGGGTCTGCTCCCCAAGTAGTGCCGACCAAAGATCTGAGAATATTAGTGGACATCATGGCTCTATCTGATACACAATCGACATATTTTTTAAAACTTAAATTATTTTGAAATATTACACCTAAAAATTTTGCTTCTGGCTCTACTGGAATAATAGCGCTCATATATTTCACCTGACTAGATGAGTCTATATTTAAATTGTTATTACTAAACACTACCATTTTGCTTTTAGAAGGACTGATTTCCAAATTTACATAAGAAAAATATACTGAAAGATTACTAAGAGCAATATTGATTTTGGATAATGTATCCACAATATTGTCACCATAACAATATACAGCTAAGTCGTCAGCAAATTGGAGATTATGGACATAAGGCCCTAAAGCATCATTAATTCTATGAACATAAATAATATATAATAAAGGACTGAGTATACCACCTTGTGATACTCCTACATGAGATAAGCGAGGACCTATACATGAAACATTACTAACTTTAACGTATAATTTTCGACCATTCATAAAATTATATAACCATATTGCTAGTTTATTTGAAACTCCGACAGAAATTAAGATATCTGCCAAAATCTTCGGATTTACATTATTGAATGCACCCACTATATCCAGAAAAATTGCTACCAAATGTTGATTATTTTCTAAAGCTTTCTTAATATCGATATAAAAATGCCCTAAGCTTTCCCGAGCTGAAAATCCTCGTCTGAATCCAAATTGATTCGACGGCAATAGATTTTGAGACTCGAAATAAAACTCTAGTCTTTGTTTAAGCAATTGTTCAAAAACTTTTCCTATACACGATGTTAATGTAATGGGCCGATAAGAATCAGCAACATATAAATTTTTATTAGGCTTTAACACAGGAATAAGATAATCTGTTTTCCATTCTTTTGGAATTATAGAGTTATACCATAATAAATTTATAATAATTAAGAAGGTATTTAAATTGTTACCATTTAATGCTTTCAACATTTTGTATGAAATATTATCCAACCCAACTGCTGTGTCCCTTCTTGATTTTAATGCTGATTGAAGCTCTGCTAATTTGAAAGGTTTATCAAAGAAAATATCTTTAGCTTTATCAGAATTGTTAGGAACTGTTGTAAAAGGGCTCGCAACGTAATCTGGAGTATATTTGTGTAAAAATTCATTTAACCACATATCATCGTTACCTGAGTTGTAAGTGCGAGGTTTATTTATATATTTCTTATTAAATTTTCGAACTTTTGTCCAAACATTAGATATAGAAGTGGTTCTGTTTAAATTAGAACAGTATTCATGCCAACTTTGTAAACGCACAGTTTTAATAGTAAGTTTTTTTTCCGCTTGCAATCTTTTAAACTTAATATAATTATCTGTGGTAGGATCATATTTAAAATCTATATATGCTTGTTTACTTTTACGAACAGCTGTTGCACAAGTGTCATTCCACCATGGTACTGGAGGATGCTTATATTTTGATAGTTTAGAATTGCTAGAAGAATTACAATTGTATTGTTTTTGATGTGCCGATGAACTCTTATTTAGAACAATATCAATAGAATTTAAAATAATATTACAAAAAGTGTCATATGTTGAACACGGATCGCTCTCATTGACAGAAAAGCCTTGTAATTTGGAATTAACAATTTTACTGTAATTGTCCCAGTTTACAAGTCGCAAGTTACGCCGATTTACTGGAACTGATACACAATTATTTGCTCCTTTACAAGAAAAATTGGAATATTGTAAATTTAATTGTGTTATTGTTGGCAAATGATAACTGCCTAACGGATCTTCGTAAACATACCAGTTACATGAAAGGGATAAAGAAGGACTAACTATGGTTAAATCCAAGCCATTTGGCTTCCAAATATGACTACCTACAGTAGTGACATGACCATCGTTTAATAAAACTAGGTTACATTCATCTAAAGTTTCTAAAATATCTCTACCTCTGGGTTTAATTGAATCACAACCCCAAATGGTGTGATGTGCATTAAAATCACCAGCAATTATAAAAGGCTTAGGAGTATTATTTACAAAGTTAACAAGTTTAGATTTTGTGAAAGGTACTGAACAATTGGTGGGGCAATAAATAGTAGCTAATGATATTTTTTCATTGTTTATATTGATCTGAATGACTAAAGTTTGTATTGAATCGTCAGAAAACATATTAATTCTATTATAATGAAGGTTTTCATGTATGATAATAGCAACACCGTTGTGGTAATTACCTGAGTCATTGCGTTCTATTTTATAACCCTTTATTTTTAATTTATGATGTGGCCGAAGCCAAGTTTCACATAAAAGTGCAATATGTATGTTATTACTGTAAAGAAAATGTGTGAGTAAATGTCGATTGCTCAGCAGACTTTGAGCGTTCCACTGAGCTATATTTAAATTATTTAAGGTGAATTTTGAGAGCTAATGTTTTTGTTACTGAAATTTTCAGTAAGAATGTCTAATAAATTTTTTGTGCAAATTGAAGTATTTTGAGTTTTATTTAATGTAATCAATTTTACTATGGACTCTACTAAGAGACCAAGAGATTTATCATCATTTTTAAGAAAAGAAATCAAATCATTATTATATTTATTCTGTCTAGTACCTAGTGATGGGAAAGATTTAAATACATCTGCATATGAAGATGTTTGAGCTTTGTTTCTGTTTTCTATAATTTTTTTTTGTTTGATTGGACATTTGGAGGAAATACTAACATGATTACCATCGCAATGGAAACATTTGGCATTTTCTACTGGTGTATCGCATATTTTAAAATTATGACTTCCTTTGCATATGGAGCATGTCTCTGCATTTTTACAATATTTAGCTAGATGTCCATACCTCAAACAACGGAAGCACTGCTTCACAGGAGCGATGTATGGTGATATATCGTGTCGCCATCCTTCAAGGTCCACATAATCTGGAAGAACTGAAGCTGCAAAAGTGATTGCTATGGTCTGAGTTGGCTGTAGAAAAAAGTTAGTATCATTTTTAACTTTACGTAGAAACCGCCGAACACATATAATTTTTTTATAACTTGATATCATGGTATATATCTTCTTATTGGATAGGTTTAATGGGACATTCCTAATGACTCCTGTAACTTCTGTGGATCCAGCTGGTATACTCGCTTTAAATTGGTATTCTTTAAGAAAGGTAAAATTATTTAGGAAAGCATTTGCAAGGCCAGGTTTCTCAAAATATACTCCTATTTTATACTTATTTAAGCTTCTGAGATACTTGACTCCTTTATTAAACCTTTTTAAACAAGATGAAAGAGATAGAAGGTCTCTAGAGCCTATTATAGTTTTAGGGTCACTAGACTCAACGAATACAACGAATTCAGTTGCACCGGAATCCTCTGGATAACGTCTATGATAATCCGTGACGAAATAAGTTTTATACAGTTCTTTCTGATCTAATTCCACTTCGTCAGTTTCGGATGAAGTTGAAGATTTGCAGTCACTATCTGGACCATCTGGAGATACAGGCTTTTTACGCTTTCTTCTACTCTTCCCCATGTTGTGGGTTATTTATTTTATTTTAACCACAATATATACGATATACAATTGAATAAACCAAATAAAATATAATAAAATTTTTAAAATAGCGCGCTTCCTTTCAAGCGTTCCCGCGCTTTTTTTTTTTTGTTATTTCATTGTCTCCCGATATGGCGCCAACTGAGTGACAGTTGACAGTATTCTGTGCAGTTGACAGTCTGAAATGCAGAAAAGACTATGTTGTAAATAAATATGCTTTTGGCTTTTGTATTTGCAACATTGCCAATAACTAATTTGATAATCAAACTTTTATTGAAATATTTTGTATGAATAAACAGTACAGAACAATATTTCGAATGTTGTAATTATACTATTAATATGATTATATTTTTATTTGAAGATTTTCGAGAATAATGTGATAACAGTTTAGTGTAGACATGGAAGAAGAAAGTGTGTTTATCGCTGTCATATTGAGTTTTTCCTTCTATTAGATTTAAAATGTTATCTATTTATATTTATTATTTATTTCAGAACTTATTCGTAGAAAGAAAAAAGCGTTGAATGGCAGCAACAGGCGTACTTTAGCTGAAGCCTGCAATGATCTGGCTACATTCTACTACAAACATAATCGTTACAACGATGCGCTAGATGAATACAAAAATGAAGCAGCGATTGTCAAAGAGTTGGGTCTCAGAATGGAGTGGGGCACTTGTAACCGTATGATTGGTGAGATGTACATGCTCTTAGCCGAATTCGAGAAGGCTCTGAAGTTTGAAGAGCGCCATTTGGGTGAATATTATATTGTTTTTTTTTTATTTTATAAAATTGGAATGGTAAAGAAGCTGACGGCACAACTAATGGTAAGTGATAATTATCACCTAAAATACTCACTAAGAACATCAAACTAACATGTAATACCTGCTACCATTCATGGATTGCCATCCCAGAGGAGATCAGGCAGTGAAATAGAATAATAATGCTTTTTAACATTATTATTCTATAATTTCACTTACTAATTACTGCCTAATCTATCCCTACAACTGAAACAGCCTATTAGGCAATCTGGCAGCTCAAATAGGTCTGACTGAGGTAAACCTCACAGTGCACAAGAGATTATTTTACGAAGATTACTTCAGTTATAGCAGAAGCCAATTATTTTAATATGCCATTTATCTTTTGCAGCTGTGGCTAAAGAATTGAGTAATCAGGTAGAAGAACAGAGAGCAATGGCAACTCTTGGCAGAATTTATTTATTACAAGGACAAAGCACAATGAATGAGAATGAATCTAAAATATCATTGAAAGCTGCAGAGAAAGCTTTTATGAAAGGGCTTGTCTTGTGTGAAAGGTAAATAAATAATAAAATTGTAAACGAAAAATATGCTTCAAATATTATTTTAATTTTTATGTAGGTAGATATTGATTAATTTAGAGTAAGCCATGTTTTTGTAATAGCTGGTTGTATAATAAACAAACTAGGAAACACTACTATTAACTATTAATAACTAACTATTTTTAAGTTTTATACAATATTTGTCTGATTGTCTGTGTGTTTGTCAATATTAATCTTATGAACTGCTTAATAATTGATTTGGATGTGGTTTCACTGATGTACTATAGCAAACTACCCTTAGCACTGTGTTTATTCAATCTCTTTATAAACAAGATATAGTTATATCTATTGTCATTCCATACACAATACTATCATAGAATAACATCATAAGTATTAAGATTTTTGAAGTCTTTATATTCTAAAACTGCTCCACAGTTTTAGAATATAAAGACTTGTGATTTTATGCATAAAACTAATGTAATGTAAACAATACACTTATCAATTTATTATATTAATTTACAGTTTAAATGGAAAGATAAATAAACATGAACTAATGGATATGAGAGCACGTCTGCTCCTAAATATAGGAGTGGTACAGGAACATCTTGGCTTCTTTGAGAAAGCAGTTGACTGTATAAAGAGAGCAATTTCAATATGCACAGGACAAGATTTATATGAAGTGTTGCACAATTGTTACACAACTCAGGCATCCTTGTACACTAATAAAAAGAAAGACTACACTCTGGCATTGAATTGTTTGAATAAAGCACTTGAAGTTGCAAGTCGACTTGAAGATAAGGTACTATTTCTTTGTGTTATAGTATTTACTCCTCACTTTAATAGTTATTTATATATTCAGTTAGTTAATAACACATTTGTTTATTATACTGAATCTGAAACTGAACTGAATCCATCCAATGACCAAAACACTTTGACAACCCTGTACACATTGGTTGGTTTAAGGCATTTGACCTCCATAAAATTGTTGTATAATCACAATAAAGATACAAGAAAAAGTAATATAAATATATTCTAATAAACCTATATAATATCTATTACACAATTATATAAGTTTTAACTTTTTTTTTATAGCTAGCAATGCTAACACACATTCCTTGCCTAATTACTACCATCTTATATGATATCTGCAAAGCAAAACAAATTTACCATATAAGCACAGTTATGTCTATCTCTAAAAATAATACTGTGTACTATATATTGTCACCCAATACATAATATGTTTGAAAACTTAATAATTATAATTTCTTGCAAACTTATTTCAGGTTCTTAAAACATGTGAGACACTTTCTTCGAAAGCTGATATTTTATGCAAAATGTCAGACTATCAAAGTGCTAAACAAGTTTTGCTGAAAGCGTGGAAGTTGAAGACCCCTGATGAAGAAGAATGTGAAAATATTGAGTCCAATCTTAGAGTTGGTTAGTTGTAAATTGCAATAGTATAAAAATACATATGAACTTTGCTTTCTTATTTTGATGTCCTCAATGATCTAGCGGTTTAGTACACCGCTTTACTTCCGTTGTTCGCAGTTCAGATTCATTGTACTATACAAACATTAGTATTCATGAATATGGTTATTTGTATCAGTCAGTGTTTTCTATGTATTTATATCACTTGTTCAGTACCTAAGAAACGATCCCTGCTTAGCTTGGGACTAGATTACGCTGTGGAAATTGTCCTGAGATATTATTTTTTCTGTTTTTTTTTTACATTGGTGGCAAATTAATAATGTAATAATATCATCCACAGTTGCGGCGATGTGTTATACTGAGGACCTTCTAATATCCACTGATCCTAGTGACCACATATCTTTCAAAAAACTATATGAGAAGTTAGGGGATGGTGCATGCCATTTACGGAACTATGCTGGTGCTGTTGAATACTATCTTAAGATGTTGGACCATGCGGAGTTGGCTGGTGACTGTGGGAAGACTCTTATACCCATTTACGTTAGGTAAGAGGATAGTATCATCATCATTGACAACCTAATGAGAGACATAACATGTGTTACATAGTTTACTTTTATTAGACGGCAATGTTTTTAATGACATTTAGGATAATATTGTAGTCCTTTTCTGCCTCGGTGGTCTAGCAATTTAGGACACTGCTTTACTCCCGCGTTGCGGGTTCGATTTCTCGCACGGTGCGAACATTTCATATATAGATTTTACTGTGTATATTATGTATCTAGCTACAAAATAATAATCTAAGTATTTATATCAGTAGTGTAGTACCTATAACACAAGCTCTGCTTACAGTTTATCAGCGTTTGTGAAACTGCCGATCTAAATCTCTGTATCTTGCTATCACTATCTATCTGATAGATATAGAATTAGAATATAAGTGAAACGTTGTAGGTACCACATGTGGCCTATGCTTGGTGTTAAACTTCTGGAACCAGTGTGCATGTAGAGACAATAAATTAATAATTTCATATTACAGTTTATATCAAACATACAAAGACATGGGCCAATACAATGATGCTTTACATTATTATGAAAAAGAATATGAACTAATAAAAGATGTACCCAAAGAGGCATACACCACTTTGTACAATATAGCTGAAGCATCATTCCTGGCCAAGAAACCTTATGGACAAGTGGAAAAAGCTTGCTTGGATGCAAGGAATGCTGTGAGTCATTTTACAATTCAAAACAGAACTAAATAGCTTTTAAGTTAATCTTTTAAATTTTCTTATACTTAATATTACTTACAATGTAAATTTCTTAATTAAGAATAGAGTATATTTATATCTTATTGTACTACCAATGCAATATCAATAGAAAACAATTTAGTATTATGAGTCTGAGTAAGTTGATAAAGAAAAAAGTTTATGTACTTTTGTGTATCAATTTAATACATATAATATTTTTATAATTTTAATATTACCAAAACTACCAATTTATTTGTAAAGTAAAATAAAACCACTTATAGAAATCTATTATACCAGTATAAAATGTAACTTATTTTATAGGCAAGAGAATGGAATAAAAGGAAGTATGAAGTAAGGATTTTAAAAAATCTACTTAAATATCAAGAGGAATATGACGAAATGGATAAGATGGATAGTACAAGGGATGAATTGAGAATGTTAGGTTATGACGATTTTGATAACTTAGAAAATTCTGAAGATGATCAGAGTTCAGCTGGTGGATGTGATGAGGATACCACTCACATTGGTGATGATATATGTCTCGACGATCTCACAGGTAAGAAATCACAATTAGGAATGTACTAGTAGACTGCACTCACTGTTTCTGCAAAGACTATACCCCCCATACTATAATCACTTTCTGAGTAAGTAGGTAACATTTTAGTATCTATAAATTAAAACAAATGAAAGTGACAGCGCTATTATGAATTTATGATACAATAGTTTTGTTTATGAATATAGCAATAAGCTTTTTTTGTCTATGTAAGTGTTAGAAAGTAATAGAATACAAAATAGAATGTAACTACATTCTTATTTCATAAATTCTGTCAGTATATTCTTTTATGTTACCTAAAAACAAAGTTCTGCTAAATGACAACAGTGATCAATAGCAACATAATAAGAAGTCTATTAATATTCTAGACTTGTCTGACACTAATGAAGAAAATGTGACGGAGAGCAAACGTGAAGTCAGAAAAAGAGGTAGAGGTTATGCGATCAAAAAGAATATGAAAGGTGAAACACAATTACATGTGGTAAGTAATTTTAATTTAAATTCAAACTACACTGTCATTAGGTTTAAAGTAGATTGACCTGAAAATTTAAAAACTAATATATTTTAATGATATCTAAGTGGAAATACAAGACATTTACATAGCATAGTTCTGCAAAATGGCAAGGAAAGCGAGGTACCATGATGTGGCAATGTATTTTGGGAGATCTGTAATTGTCATTAATATTATTGTAAGGTGGATGCAATAATATTAATGACAATTACAGATCTCCCAAATAATAATACTGTTATTTTTCCCAAATTAATTCCCAAAATATTATTTCCCAAATAATTACAGACTGCAAATAATAATACTGTTTTTTATATTACCATAAAATGTAGCATGTAGTACACTGGAATAATGTTTGTCAGTGACAGAATTTCTTTAAACAGTCACAACATGCATGCTTATAAATTGAAAGTATAATATTAGCAACGACTAAGGAAATTGTGAATTTAGTTTTCATTATGCAGTATTTTAAAGATATTTCTAGAGAAATGTGGTTTACCAACTATTTAAACTGACTATGGTCAGACATTATCACATGGCTAACTATAATGCAAAGCAGGACAGTACCTTATACCTTATAAACAGATATTATTATTTAATAAAATTCCAGGCATCAATATCTGGCAATAAATTGTTAGTGGAACGGTTAATAGCTAAAGGTCATCCTGTTAATGTAAGAGACAATGCTGGCTGGATTCCGTTACATGAAGCCTGTATACATGGGCATATTGAAATAGCTAATACACTAATTAATAGTGGTGGTAACGTAAATGACAGGGGAGGATCAAATTGTGATGGTGAGATATGTTTTGGTACATTATTTATTATTAGTAAACTACTCCACTTCTTTTATGTTTACTGTAGACATTTACTTGGTTTATAATATTTTAAAATTACATAGTGTTACTTATGAAGATGTATATAGGATATATCAGAATATTTATATTCTTAGAGTGGTTTTCATTTTTAATTTATTTCTCTTCAAAGTAACAATACTCCAAATGCATTTAATTTCTACATAGCATTAAAAGCTAAAGTTTGTGATTATGCTTGTGGATATTTCAGGTATAACTCCTTTGTATGACGCAGCTAGTAATGGACATTTAGAAGTAGTTCAGCTATTACTAGAGAAAGGTGCTTTGCCATCTCTAAAAACTGACTTTGGCGAAACCCCGTTGCATGTCTTACAAAAATGGCGCGCAGGAACTATATTAACAAGAGATGAAGAAGTTTTGTATAATAATATATGCAATAAAATGAACAATTTTATTGAAAAAAATAACACAACAGATCACAGTAAAATAGATCAAGTCCTAAACAGATCTAAATCGAAGACTCCTGTCAAACCCATTATTGATAGAACTCCTCCTAGTACGTCAAAATCCACAGTAAAAATAAGAGAATTAGAATCGCCGGTATTTAAACGACGAAATATTATTGATGATGATAGTGATGATGATATTAATCTATCGCAAAATGTTACACATCAAACTGCATTTCCGTCGGATGATTCAAATGATTCTTTTGATGACACTAGATCGAATAAAAACAAAAGTACAGCTTCAGGTGTAAAAGAGTACAGAAACGCAATATCGGCTTTAAGGAACAGAACTACTGACGAATTTCCGGAAGTTGACGTAAAGAAAGCAAAAGCCAAACCTGCTTTCCTGGACCCAGACGAAGTTGATGATGATTGGCTAGATGATGATTTAGGTATAAATAAGGGAAAGAAAAGAAAACTTACTGATCCTTTGACTGTCATAGCCAAAAAACCATCTTACGATAGCATAAAAGACAATATTGACAAAATAAATAAGATAGAACCTCTTGTGGATAATAATAAGAACACTAAACAAAATAGGTTACGGATGAGTAATATAGTAGATATAAGTGAAAACAGTTCTGATTCAGATAGTTTCAGAAATGAGAATGTAAGTCCTAGGAAAAATGTTGTCAACTCAATTAAATATATAAGGAATGAACTTAATGAATCTAAATCAAAAGACAGTAGAGAGAATATAAAACGGCGGTGGAAGACTCAAAGTACTTTATTGAAAGCTGGATTTCAAAGGAAGAAGGATGTTGATCAGTCGAGTAATAGTGGAAGTGATAATGAAGTAACTAGAAGCACAAAAAAGGATAGTAGACGAGAGGCATCTACCTTTTCGTTCTCTCGGAAATCAAGCGAGAATGTCAATGACGGTTTCAATATTATGCAGACTATGAACCCTAATATAGTGCAACCAATGAATGTGATACAACCGATAAGCATTATGCAGTCATCTAAAAATGGTCGGCCAATACAGACGCAGATATTACCACCTGCTGCTGTGAAGGTGCAAGTTGAAGATAAAGTATTACTTATATCTTTAAAGTTGGATACAATAAACAAACTAACAATCAGCTGGCTGGTTGATGAAGTTAAATCTAGATATTATAAGTAAGTTTATTTTTTTTTTTACAATCATACTGCTTCATAATTTCACTGATATGAACAATAAAAAAAATATTATCTGTAACAATTTGTTCAACATGGGTAGTGTAGCAATTTAACAAATTCTTACCTATCGACGGTAATGTATTTCGATTGCTACTTATTACTGATATCTGTATTCCTGATTATACCTTTGTACATTAGTCTAGGCTTTTTTTATGTATTTTATTTTATTTGTATTGATTCAGGTATGTGTTATAAGTTGTTATATATTACGAGCAACAGGTATTGTTTAAGATTGGATTGCACTATGTCCAACTTAGAACAAACACTAAATACTGTCAATTGATTGCAAATAAAGGCATGTGAAGAGGTGCAGTAATTTATTCAAATAAAAATTAGTTTTCACAATATATGTTATAATTATTTTCATATTTTTACCATCAGATTAACAGGTGTTAGGCCAATATTTAGCCTAATGACATCTGACGGAGCTATACTGTCTGAAGACGACCCGCTAAGCCTTGTTCTAGCGTCACCTGAATTAAAAACCTCTGTTACCAATTGGAAAGCGTCACCGGCTGAGGAGAGGTATTTGGAGTGCTGTGATGCTCTGGGAATATGTAAGTAATTTGTATCTATTATTATACTTCTGAACTTTATTTATATGTAGTTGATTTTGTATAATTCACATTGTTATTGTTGGTAATTAATTATAAATGAAACTGTTATGTATAATATGGTGGTCTTATCGCTGAAAAACGATTTCTTCAATTCATTATATTTCTAATTATTATCCTTCCAAGTAATTACTTCTCATAATCATAAATAAATATGTGGCTAATTGGCTAAAGTATGCAACAATTTCTGTTAAATATTGTCTATAGTTTAATAAGTTCCCCTTTTACCCACATTTTATTGGTCAATAGAACCGAATTAATTAATTTAATAAATAAAATAACTAAATTTAAATGTTATTTTCCAGCACCATCTGAGGAGGTCCAACAGGCCGTTGGCAGAAGTCACACTACCCACCGACTAGCACTTGGTGCTAAAACACTGTCATCATTACAAATTAGGCCATTATTCCGTGCTATGACCCATCAAACCCACATCACAGCGATCATGATCTCGGACAATAACATAGGCGATGACGGCGCTAAATTTTTAGCTGAAAGCATATGTACAATGAAGCAATTAACGATTTTAGATATCAGTCTAAACAACATTAGCGCCGATGGTTCAAAACACCTATTAAATATCTTCGAAAAGTCCACAAGACCTGTTTGCCAAACATTGGAAGATTTAGATTTAAGTGGTAACCCAATATCGGATAATGGTTTTAGAAATATTGTAAAATTGTGTCAATATATAAAGTTAAGAGTACTGAAAATAAATAATTGTATGATAACAGACCAATCTATAAATGAAACTGTTAAATCTAATATGAGCTTCGATAGCATAGAATCCATTAATATAAGCAACAATGAAGTGAAACAAGTAATGGTCAGTTGTCTCGTAACGTCGTTAAATGCTAGTTTGCTGACGGATTTGGAACTGGATAATATAGGCGTGGAGGGCAGTGTCGTAGGATGTATAGCGACTTTTATGGATTCAGCTAAAGATTTGAAGATACGGCGATTCAGTTTGTCCAATTGTAAATTAGTTGATGGACAGTTTATGAGAATATTCAGGTTAGTTTCTCTCAAATTGTATTTCTTTATTTATTTTTTTAATATGGAATTGGCAAACACGCTTCCAGCGCCTGCTGTTAAGTGATAACCGTCGCCTATATACATGAACAGCATCTATGAACATCATGTGAGATCACCAGTTATGCGTTGTCATTCCAGAGGACTAAGATGTCGCGCCTCTTAAATTACAATTTCATTGTGTAATCTACATAGAATAACTGAAACAGCTTACAAACCAAGCTCCTTGGAAGGTGAAACTGTGCCTCGGTTTCACCTTCCAAGGAGCCTTTAATTTAACCTTTTAATTGGAACCTTTAATACATATAATTATTTAAAGTCTACCTCTATTAAATTTAAGTAAATGTATGTCTACATCTGTCTATACTGTAATCATATTAACTATTGTCACACTTAATAATTCAGTAGTTTATCTATGTTATTGTAATGCAAACAGCCTGTACATGAATAGCACCATGGACATAACTTTTTTAATTTTTTTTTGTAACATGTGGAAAATCTTCACTGGGACGCACTTCATCATAACACTTCACTTCATCTTCACTTCACTCTAAACTTAAACACACATCTTTAGCGGGGCAATGGGTCCTCTCATTAAATTGCCCCAGTGAAGATTTTCTACTTATCCTTGTAATAATTTTTACTTCCACAGTTTTATGCAATCTTACATGTTTTCCAGATCTCTAGGTCGCGCCAGGCATTTGCAGTCCATAACTCTCAAAAACAATTTTCTGACGTTCATCACCTTGAAGAAACTACTACAACGTCAGCCTCCTGTACCTCAGATAAATTTGGACGGTTGTCAAGACATATTTAAGTATTCACCTGATTCAGATTTCCAAGTGTGGCTACCAGCAATAGACTTTGGGAGGTGTATACCGGAGATAAATGTCACACCAATCTCAAAAACTGATGCTGAAAGGGAGAGTTTCAAGTTGTTTTCTAAAACGTGGCTAAACTGTTTCAAAGGAAGGGGTGTTATAGAACATTGTGATGGAGGCGTAATCAAGTTCACTGCAAAATGAAGTGTGCCTTATGTATAGTAATAAGTTTTGTGAACAATTTGTATACATAACAATAAAATCAGTGTAAAGTAACAATGACAGAGCTGATAGTTTATAATTTAATTTATGAATAGAAATTAATACTTTTAATGTATGAGTTAGTGTTTTTTTATTTCCTGTTCACATGTTCCAAGTAATCAAGATATTAAATTGTAGTGTAAAAATCGATAATTCTATAAATGATTCGTACATAGATAAACTTGAAAAGCAAAATGTTAAAGTATAAAGTTTCATTCTGATATTAGGTATATATACGTAAAATAAATAGACATATACAAGAGATACATAAAAAGCTAAACAATTTTTATTGACTTATACCTATTTAAAAAGATATACCGTTATAGAGCAAGAGCCCACGACTGCCAGACACGTCATTTTAGTAAACGTGAAAGTTCTTGTATGTGTGTCCCCAACATAGGTAAGAACGATCCCCAAACATGAAACCTGGATCGTGGTTCCTTTGGCAGGTAACAGGTAACAAAGGTGTAAAAAAATTCATATCAAATTCGTTATTTTAAGAAACTCCATATTTTCATATGTTGTTCGTAGCATTATTATAACTTGCGCTGCTCATTGCCAGACACGTAGTGTGGTTCCAACCCCCCGCCGGACCCCCCTAAACTATAATAGGTATTTTAGAAATAAACTTACGTCATTTTAATAAAGCTGAAATTTATATATATTATTGAGAGTTCTCTCAAACTGAGTTTCCTAAAGTGCCAGACAGTTTTCTTGGTTCCTTATCCTACCAGACTCATTGAAACCGTATATTGGGTAACAACGGTGTATACAATTTCATATCAAATTCGTTATTTTAAGATGCTCCATTTTTTCACATATTTCTCGTAACAGTATTATAACTTGCTCTGCTCGTTGCCAGACCCTTAGTGTGGTTCCAACCCCCGCCGGACCCCCCTAAACTATACTATTTTATAAATAAACTTACGTCATTTTAATAAAGCTGAAATTTATATATATTATTGAGAGTTCTCTCAAACTGAGTTTCCTAAATTGCCAGACAGTTTTCTTGGTTCCTTATCCTACCAGACTCATTGAAACCGTATATTGGGTAACAACGGTGTATACAATTTCATATCAAATTCGTTATTTTAAGATGCTCCATTTTTTTACATATTTCTCGTAACAGTATTATAACTTGCTCTGCTCGTTGCCAGACCCTTAGTGTGGTTCCAACCCCCCGCCGGACCCCCCTAAACTATACTATTTTATAAATAAACTTACGTCATTTTAATAAAGCTGAAATTTATATATATTATTGAGAGTTCTCTCAAACTGAGTTTCCTAAATTGCTAGACAGTTTTCTTGGTTCCTTATCCTACCAGACTCATTGAAACCGTATATTGGGTAACAACGGTGTATACAATTTCATATCAAATTCGTTATTTTAAGATGCTCCATTTTTTCACATATTGCTCGTAACAGTATTATAACTTGCTCTGCTCGTTGCCAGACCCTTAATAATGTATATAAAGTTCAGCTTTATTAAAATGACGTAAGTTTATTTCTAAAAAGTATAGTTTAGGGGGGTCCGGCGAGGGGTTGGACCCACACTAAGGGTCTGGCAACGAGCAGAGCAAGTTATAATACTGTTACGAGAAATATGTGAAAAAATGGAGCATCTTAAAATAACGATTTTGATATGAAATTGTATACACCGTTGTTACCCAATATACGGTTTCAATGAGTCTGGTAGGATAAGGAACCAAGAAAACTGTCTGGCAATTTAGGAAACTCAGTTTTAGAGAACTCTCAATAATATATATAAATTTCAGCTTTATTAAAATGATGTAAGTTTATTTCTAAAATATTATAGTTTAGGGGGGTCTGGCGGGGGGTTGGAACCACACTACGTGTCTGGCAATGAGCAGCGCAAGTTATAATAATGCTACGAACAACATATGAAAATATGGAGTTTCTTAAAATAACGAATTTGATATGAATTTTTTTACACCTTTGTTACCTGGTACCTGCCAAAGGAACCACGATCCAGGTTTCATATTTGGAGATCGTTCTTACCTATGTTGGGGACACACATACAGGAACTTTCACGTTTATTAAAATGACGTATGTCTGGCAGTCGTGGGCTCTTGGGCTATTAGGGCTATAATGAGGACTACCCGCATTATTAAATGTCATGTCGCAGGGATATTTATTCGGTTGTTAGCTGTTTTTTTCTTTACTGGAGAGTCGGTCAGCATTAGTCAGTATGCTGTGGCAACTTGTGTCCCATGTTGGTCATCTTATCGACCTTTATATATTTATATACCTATACATATCGATAGCCTTCTAGCTGCAACTGATTTATAATAATAAAGCTAAGCTAAGAAATACACATACACGTTAAGCTGAAATTACTACGGATTTCGAATTCCCACGAGTATACCCGAGGTATATAGTTATTATGTATAATAAATTCCATACGTATATTTATTTTAAGATAGTCCTTTTAACTACTATAATTTAACTGTTTGCAAGATATTCCTTTGCTGTATTAGTTAATTTATTATTGATGATGTTTATGTCATCTCAATGTCAAAGTCAATAACGTCAACAAACGACGTACCTTTTGTCATGTGTTTAACTTGTTTGTTATAACCTAAAATATTGTATATTCCTCTTGATAGGTCTTATATTAGTACTGATACTGCAAAATTATATACCTTTGTTAACATCCATTAATTTATTTTACACATTTGAAAATATAGAACAACATAATAAATAGTAAAAATGGCTGAACAAGTAAATCAACGCATAGAAAATATGATAAATGAGTTAGAACAAATGCGGCGGACTAACTTATTTAACGATGAAGAAATAAGGTAAGTAAATATTATACTACCTATTTGTTACTGTAAAGATGCTTATCAAGTCGACACAGTTTATATCATCATATTATACACACTTTCAAAGTAACATTAAACATTTGTTTATTATTTTTAATTTAATAAATTTCTTGTTTGTATATTTTGTTACTATATATATCCACAGATCATTACATTTTTATTAAATATTACAATTGTCATTTATATTTTGATCAGAGAAATATCTCGAAAACGTAAGGAGTTTGAATATAGGATTCAACGGAGAGTCAAATCTAAGGATGATTTCATAAACTACATTGCTTATGAGCTGATTTTGATGGAAAATATTTCGCTTCGAAGAAAAAAGAATAAAATGACTGAAAAAAGGAATGATATTGAGTATGCTATAGCAAAACGCATGAATAAAGTCTTCAAACAGTTCATATACAGATTTCAGAATGATATTGAGATATATTTTGAATATATTAAGTTTTGTAGGAGTGTTGGTTTTGAACATTCTATATCTGGTATTATTGGGCAGATGCTTCAGGTATGTATAAAAATATTGTTTTATGTAAGTACTATAATCTATAAACAGTATTTTTATCCAAAGAATGATATTAGTTAACTAAACTGAGTTCTAATAAAATACAACTTATTTTTTACTAGCTGTGCATAAAATTTATAGCCTGTGTCTTATTCTGATATATATATTACTGTAAAGTTTCATCAAAATCCGTTCCGTAAATTTTCTGGGAAAGAGTAACAAACATCCATCCACTCACACAATTTTATGTTTAGATTATTAATAAGATAAATTTAAAAACAGATTATGTATTATAAGAAGTAAAGTTTTTAAACATTTATTTGAAGCCAGTGAAAACACAAAGAAATCTATAAATATTGTTAATATTTTTATTATAGAATTTGATGAAACCAATGCAGAATATTAATATTAATTTCAGATTCATGGAGATAAACCAAAAACATGGCTATTGGCCAGTAAATGGGAGAGATTAGAGCAGAAAAATTTGAGTGTAGCTAAGCAGTTCCTGCTTAAGGGGATACACAGGCACCCAGAGTCTGAAGCACTGTACTTGGAACTTTTTGAAACAGAACTTACACTGCTATACCAAGTGGAAACAGATGAAGAGAGGGTAATTTTAAATTGAGCACTTTAAATATATAAATCAGTTCATATAATATCCACAATTATAACAACTCATAATGCATAATAATCAGGTGGTTCAGTTGTGGTTATAATAAAATTTTCTTGTATTTAAATATTATTTACCATTTGTTAATCTGAAACACTACTGAACGGATTTTCATGTGGTTTTCATCCATCAATAAAGTGATTTCTGAGCTAGTTGTATTATAATTTGTGAAGGTTTTGTATACATTAATTGAATTAGCACATCTATTTTAAATTATTATTATATATTTACTGTTATAATTAATTATACTAAGGCTTTTAGATACTTTTATAAATACATAATTTATTATTTCAGGAAAAACAAATCAAAATAGCTGATGTAGTGTGGAAAAATGGTATCAAGAACATCACTAATGTGAAATTTCTGTTTGAACTTTGTGATTTGTGCCTTAAATATGAAACAGATAAATTGTTAACTGATAATATAAAGACGGAAATATGGTCTAAACTTGATCAGAAGGAAGTTTGGTCATATATAGCATCAAAAGAATTAGAAGTAAGAATTGCAAGTTGAAAGTAGATTTTTTTTGTTTATTATATATATGGTATACTTTATTTAATTTTAATTGTATTACCAGGGTTGTCACTGGGAGGAATGTGAGGAGTTTGTAAATTCAGAATATAATTACTCCCAAGAAATTAATATTTTCATGGGAGTGTACGAAGAGGCTTTACAACGGGTAATAATTTTTTTATTATAAAGTTCATTATAATTAATACTGTAATTTTTATATGTATAATTTATTGTTGCAATATTTTTAAATAAATTGCATGCACTTGACAATGTAGCTGGATTATTATTGATTAAATAACTATAAGACTCTCTAAAATTACTTAGTTTTATAGTTAGTAATATCAGTTTCCAGATGAGAAGTTGTGTTCAAGATATATCCAGGATCTGCTTGGTGTAAATGAAAGAATTTGCAGTGATTACCAGAAAATTAGTGCTGTGAAAAAAGCTTGGTTATTTGCACATGAAAATGGACTTCTTACAAATGATTTGTATGCTTTTGGTATTGCATTTCTGAAATTAGATGATAAAATATCAACTGTTGATCTATTGGAGGTAAGTGGTGTATATTTTATTTTATTCTTTGATTCTCCATGTAGCCTCACACGATGTTTTTTAATTAACTAATTTTCATTTAACAATGACAATCTAAAATTTTAATTAATTATCATACACGATTTTGTAGGCATTTACAATTAAAATTATAAATTTATTGTAATATATAAAAGAGCATATAATCTTCATGAAAGCCATATTTTTCTTCCCCATTGTATTATGAATAGAAACTCGGCTGATGTGCTGTGTGGCAGTAAATTATAAAATTTTCATGTAATTATGTTAAAAGGAGTATCTCTCCTTTTAATGAAATGAAATAAATTGCTTCTAGATTTTGGATAATGCATCGAAGAAAAATCCACAAGCCAGGTGTGTATGGGAAGAGAAACTCTTATTAAGTAAGCCAGATGAAAAGAAAATGTTAATAATAGCACAGGAAGCAAGTAAAGTATTGAATACCAATAATGCATTGCATGTATGGAATGTTCTGTTAGATAATGTGGAATCAAATGATATGGTAAGTTTCTAACATAAAGTGTCTGCTACTTAAATATATATTCAAGTATTTCTATCAGATCAAATATTTATATTTTATAAATACATCTATAATATATGTAAAAAAGAGTCAGAACAGAAGCAATTAGACTTGTAAATACATATGTTTGCATTGTACAAGGAATCAAACCAGTAACCATCTGAAGTCGTGTTCTGCTAAACCATTGGACCACTGAGGCCATATAGTGAAATGATAACAATAAATGAAGTATATTTTATTAAGAAATAAAATATTAGTTTATATGTTAATTCATGTTGAATAATATATTCTGTAAAAATTTCATCATAGTTCCTCTAGATATATTTATTAAAGAATAAATAACAAGAATAGATAACAAGATATTTTTTGCCTTGTCACCATAAAGATAAAGATAACTATTGTAGATCAAGACCCACTTTTGATATCCATTAAATTTACAGAACAAAAACTGAACTATTTTCAATTCTCATAAACAAATTTTGTTTTAGAGTTGGAAATATATCTATTATTAATTTATAAGCAACAAGGATATTAATTGTTATACTAAAGAGTATAAAAACCTATAGCTTTGATGCTAGACAATTTAACAAATAAAAAATATCTGGGATCAGTGATTATCAATTGATAATACTGGTTAGTAATCTTTGATAATTCCAATAGTTTTGTGATTATGTTTTGATACACATGTTTATTAATAGAAATTGAATGTACTTTCTCAAAGGGAATAGTGAAAAATATCTATTGCACTTTTGCTTACTATTTTTTTTATTTTCAGCTTAAAAATTTGCATAAGAAATTTCAGAATTGTGAAAGTATTGTAATATTAACAATAAAACCAAAACTCCTTCAGAAAATGTATGACTATAATGGATTGAAAGCTACAAGAGATCTGTATGATGAATTAATTAAGACTCCTCCTCTTCAACCAGAAGTACACAAGGTTATGATAGAAATAGAAAAGCTACAAGATAAACAAAACATGAAGAATATAAGGAGATGTTATGAAATGTTAATACAACACCATGGTACGGATAATGTGGATCTCTGGATGGAATACATGAAATTTGAATCTGAACAGGGAAATGTTCAAGCAGCACCCAATATCTATAGAAGAGCTATTGGTTCACTTAAAAAAGAATTAGTAGACAACTTTATTAAAGCTCAAACTTTGGCAAAATTAAAATAACATGCTAATGTAATAATTGTTAATATTTTGTAAATAATAATACTACTGACAAATAAAATATTTTTATTTAAATATAACCACACCTTGAGTCAACAATCTAGCAAAACAAGTATCCACATAGTACACCATTTATACTATTATTATTTACATTTAATTATACATAATATTTTAACTCTCTACAAGAGGTTGAAACTACTTGGTGGTTGTGGAATATCACTTAGCAAATAAATCCAAATAGTTAAATGCAATTATACTAGTCCCAGGGGTGACTACTGCATAGCGGCAATTGGAGCTATGTAGTACCTAAAGATAAGGGAGGAACCACGTTTGTGTTGTTTATTTCTGAGCAAGTCTCTCCAACATGCCTGCCATGATGGATATTTAGGCATTGCAGGTGGATTGCCGGCCTTGAGGCTAGAGCCTGCAACGGCCATGCATGTAGATACCACAACTAGTGGATAGGTGATAGTGCTGGTAACAAATGTTAACAACGGAACAGTGTAATATCTAAGATCTTTGGTTTTGACCAAATATTTGTTTACATAGTACGCCAACACACCTGTGACAGCCACACATGTCAAATCACCAAGCATTTTAGGAATAATTCCGTGAAAAAAGCCACGTATTCCATCGTCTCTGTAAATGGACACAATGGCGCCAAGCAGCGTGCTGTATTCTTCTTCCTTCCCCACAAACGAGGCCATCATTCTCAGAGCGACTACATGGAATGGGTAGGACACGATGACAGAGGCAGTGTGCATTATCATATCTCTTCGACCAAGCTTGATGTAATCCTCCACTTTAGGTTCTTCATCAGTAACGATGTTCGGTGGGTCATTGATTTCGGGCAGGTCGATGCCACACACATAAATCACTTTTGACGTGAGTTGACTGGTCGCTATCAATCCGAGCACCCGAGCCGACAGACCTTTATAGCATCCAAAAAATCCGTCTGAGGCCTTAATGTACTTTATGTATTGGAAAACGTTAGGTAATACCATAGCAGGACGGCCGAAGAGTGTTGTCGACCGGCGCGGAGGCAATGGCTCGTAGCCCAGTTGAATAAGAACTTTTGCATATTCCATTGGGTGGCATATTGTTGTGACTAGTAATTGTGATGGCAGTGCAGCTATTTTCTCTTTTTCAACTTCGTCCATACTTTGACAATTTACAGACGTCTGAGGACCCTTCTGAAATCAAAACTGACTGGCCATAGATAAATCAGAGAATTTATAGAGCGACTGTCAAATGATTGTAGTGGTGTGATCCGGTTGTAAGAAAAACCGGTGAAGTGTATTTAGTTGTAGACGGTGTTGAGTTTTTTTTTATTTGTCCTTTTCCTCCTATGTGTAAATGCTTTAATGTACTTTTCTTTTGTAATAAAAAATCTAACTTTACACTATGGTATATAATGTAATGAGGAATCATGGTAATATATTTTTACACATTGGGTATATGGAAATAATATATAATCAATTCATTTTCCCATAATGAAAAAATTATCCCCATTAATATAAATTTTTGTGCATTCTTCCTTACTGATATAGTATTGTTGACTTTTTATTAATAATAGTATTGTGAATGGTAAAAATAAAAATAAAATAACTTATGTTTTGTTTTTTATTTTGTCAGATGACGATGTCCACTGATTTAAATTATTGACTTAAGTAAAAATTATTAATCAAGTATAGATGATATTCATAAATGTTATATTATAATAATGTTATTATATTTTCTCAAAATATTAGAAAGGGATATAAAATGTAAGCGATTAAAAAGATTAAAAACGATGGTATATTATTTATTTTTTATTAACCATACTAGGTAATGCTATTTAATCTTCTAAGCACTTAAAGCTAATAATTCATTGGATCCATCTTCATCTATTTTATAAGGTAGTGGAGTTATAAGTGACGGTGGCCCTTGATGATCGGTAGCAATTTGATCAATATCCTGAAAAATAGAAATACTAGTTTAAAATGGGTTGATCTCAAACCATCCAGCCATCAGACGTCATTGACGTCTATAATATAACGTCTTTAATTACTTGTCTAAATTCATAATTTGATTGGAACCAACATTTATGATTCATTCAATATATCTAATCGGATGAACTCGTATTAATGGAAACGATTACAATAAATTGACTTGTTTGACTTACTTTGTTGATTACTATCAACTATTCAGAGATGTCTAAAAAACTAGGTTCATTTAAATTTAACATAAGTAAGGTTATTTTACTCTAAAAATTACACGCATTATTTTGTGCATACAATATTGTTTATATTTAGACTTCCACCTGTACAGAAACAATTGGATCTGCCTCGCTTTCTTCTGGATCCTCATCTGCGGTTTCATCGTCTGTTATTGAATCGTCTGCATCTTCACTAACTTCTTCATGTATAGCGTCAGTAGCGTCTTCTTGAGATTCGTCGTCTTCTAGACTTTCGTCTCTTTCCTCGAGTGTTTCAAAAGCCCTTTCTTTGTCTACTATATCTGTCATAAAGGATAGTATTAGATTATTAAAACTGCTAAAAATTGGTCTAAATTGTGTTCCAGGTTCAGATTTCAGGTGTTAACAAGGTACCATTTTCCAACATAAACATATCTAAATAAGCTGCATTTTTATATTTTACCTTTAAATCTTAGTGAGCCTCGCCTTACGACTGGCTTATCTTCATTCACCATTTCTACCAAAACAGTAGGTATCTCTATTGTGACACCGTTGATTTTCTTATCACTTTCTTTACCGTTTTCATTATCCTCTTTGCTTAACTGCAAGAAAACAATTATAATTTAATAAACTTCATTATTTATTTCTTTAAACTGAATGTCGGATAGACTAATAATGAAAGATATGCATAAAAGTCTCAGGTATGATGGATCTAAGTTTTAATGGAGAATAATATACTGAGCAATGAATAGGTACCTACTATTGTTCCGGTTATACGTCCTACCTGCACGAATGAAACCGCTGGTTCTTGTAATTTTGTGGCCTTTTCTTTACTCCTCATAATGTTTTCGTCAGTTTCCTTTTCTAGGCGCAATTTGTGAGCCTTGTGAGTTCGCCACATCTGAAAATATATAATAACATATATTTATTTTAAATTTATTCACCGATATTTTTTGGAAAAAATGGCGGACTTAATCTATCTGTCGATATAAAATACTTCTATCGTAAATCCTAATTCATGTGCGCAAAGCCGCGGGATACCATTAGTATGGTTATAAATTTACGTGTGATCCAGTGTAGCAAAGTCCCAATAAGAATATGACTATCAGTGCTATGAAGAATTTATCAGTGTTCTCCTCTTCAGCATCAGGTTGCTGATACAAAGATATGTAGGGTATTCTCGATGGAGGATCTTCTACCCAAGTTTTGTCTCCACTCTGAAATAGAAATATGGTCTATTCAAATGAACTTATTTTTTAACATTTTTGAATGTAGATACCCTAAGATCTGTAATAAAAACGATAAATCAAACTACGGTCCTACTTTCTGCATTGACGGTGACTCCGCCATGGAATTTGGAATATTATCTGCGAAAAAGTATCCCAAAGTAACTAGATAGGTACTTCGTATTTTCAAATATTTGCAAAGTATCTCACTAGGGTTCAAAGACTAAAATATAAGATAAATCCAATATTTTTAAGTGGTTTGATAAATTTAAGGAATGAAGCAAGGGCCAATTGTACCGAAGTGTGGCTTATCTGCTACATTTCTTATTACTTCTATTTTCTTCCCTCATGCATGTTGTCATGACTACTTACATGATTACTTGTAATACAACACTATACGTAATAAGATTAGGGCTTAATCGGAGCAGAGGGTTACGATTTTTTATTAAATGTTTATTAACATTTTATAAACTAAAAGTGTATAAAATGAGTACGGATTGCATAGCAACTGTATTACCTCATCAAGTCCAAATTACCAGTCCATTTATTTGATTGTTTGTCTTAATTAGTGACGTATTTGTGAAACAGTCTACTTCAAGTTCTGTACATGACTTGCTGTGTGTTTTGTAAAAATTTAGAAGAAAATCCTAATTTTGTAAGTTAATGAGACAACAATCAATTTAATATTATGAAAATAACTTACAATGAGAAAGCTGCCATTATGTGTAGCTCCAAGCTGGTCCCGTTCGGGCCAGGCTTCGTCAAAATCGGCAGAACATTGTGCACTTCTTACACCTTGAGCGTTTACAGCATTAACTTTTTCAGAGTCAGAACGAGTGAACAGCATATATTCTTCTAAAGGTTTCATTGTGTATTCGTTTACTTCAACAAATATATCTAAATCATGAAAAGAAGTACTGTCATTAATATTTTTTACTATATATATTATATATATATATATATATATATAACAGAAGCAGGAGAATTTGTTTGTTTTATTGCATACGCTAATCTGATAACAACTGGTTTCAATTGAAAAAATCTTTTAATGTTGGGTAGCCTATTTATCGAGAAAGGCTATATAATATCACGCTACGCTCAATAGCAATTGTGCAACACTGAAAATGTTACAAAACGGGGAATGTTAGATATGAAGTGGCAAGGGTCAACTAGTAATTTAAGACTTATAGTATAGGGTTTGTATATTTGAATGCGTAAGTCTCTGGAATGATCAGTTGAATTAATAATCTAATGCGTAAGCAAGGTAATATATTGTAACGCTATAATCTTAAGCAAAAATTAAAATATCGGAAGAAATGCTAACTGAAGACTAAGTCATAGTGCGGGAGAGAGATGCAATAAATTGCTCGTAGAGCGAGGACAGCTGCTATTTTTGTGAAACATTATCATAGTCTCATTTAACGGAAACTGAAACCGCAAGGCAGAACTAATTATCGGCAAATTATCTTGCTTCAAGAACTCACTGGAGAGGCATCCATTATATCCTTTATAAATCTTGAGTCTCGGGTCGGTGGTATTTAGACCTCCAATCTGCACCTCATTGGAACCCACATCAAACACTTCCCACAAGCTCTGCGGTGGTAATTTCTCCAGTGGTATCTCTATTCTATCTATAATTAATGTAGCTTCATGGCCTATCCTTGTGTAATAAACTGTGTGACGAGCACCTACAAGAAATATTTTTACTTTCAATACAAAATTGAATAAAAGAATAATTAGTTACATTTTGTTTTTGTAATAGGAATTTTTAAGGGTCTCTTATTTGGCTAGAAATATTATTGGATAAAAAGAAGCTTATGATATAACATCATAAGCTAATAGATCGGTTTCCAAATATATTATTTTATAATTGTATTATATATTTTACAATGTTGTTTGAAGAAATGAAGATATAAATACAATAGAATTAAGAATTACGTTACCATTTAAAAAGTTCCTATTCTTAACTTCAGCGCCATATGCTGATTCTTCACGATCTTCCTCGAATTTCAAATAACCATCTTGTGTTATTGCAACTAGTAAATAATAGCTACGCCTGAAAAATAAAAATCGTTAGATATAGATAATTTCTTTTTTACTTAATAAAAATAAGTAATAAAATATTATGGAACCATTACTTATTCTCAGTCTGCACCAATAGAAGAACTGTGTTCTTCTGGCGAAGGTCATTGCTTGAAAATGCCAATTTTATTTTGACCTGAAAACATTAGACATTAATAGAAGAATACCTACTAGATATTTTTCTTGGTAGTTAGAAGTTTAGAATTACAGTAGTATATTTAAAGATAACTTAGGACTCAAAATGTGTTGCCTTATACATATCATTATAAGATTTTTTTATAGAATTGGTATAATAGGCGTGTCGCGTTGAGGATATACCTAATAATAACAGCTTAGTAATTTTTTTTTCGGAGGGTTAAGAAGCAAGTAGTATTCTAATTCATATAAAGCAGCTTTTTGAATATACGCACCAGGAAAGGATTTTACCTTTGTGATAGGTCCAGAAAGTATAAATTTTCGTTGCAATATACTCTCTCCATTAAAGTCTGCACCTTTCTCTTCCATACAGTATTCCCCAAAGTAGCTAGTGAGCTCGCAGTCGCAACTACTTTCCTGGTTGGTGAAGTCCTCAGTGCAAACTCCCCCATTCTTGCAAGGCTCGGAGTCGCATTTCATATTGCATTCCGGTAAAACTCCCTCTAGTTCTGTGTATAGTCGGTGATCAGAACACTAGAGATTTTAATATACTATAGGCATTTTTAAGTGTTTTAGTGGATCTATGTATGTATATTATAATAAAAAGAATGTTTTGGTTATTTCTATAAGTTGTTTAGAAATTTTATTAAACTTCTATGAACTTTGCTTTTTTTGCCCTAATATCAGATCTAAAACTGATTTTAATTTTCAGTTTTTTGTAGTGTAGACCGAGAAAGTACCTATTAATAAATAAGACTCATTTAATTTGTTTATGGCACTAATCACTATTTACAATGTTTTCAATTAATTAAAATGTAAATTTGGGCAGATACTGTACCATTTACTTAATAATTATCGTTTCATTTAGTTTATTTATTAAAATTAATTTTACCTTGGTCGAGGTCTTGTTGTACCTTCTTAGATAAATCAACAACATGATCTTCGATTTTGAATCCTCTGACGCAGCCAACATATCCTCCTTGGGGAAGAAGATCTGCTCTTGGCGCCAGATGTAACGAATATGGATCATAACCACCGAGGTTTATTTGGAAGTAGTCAGTTGGCGGAGCTGGCGGTCTTTGTGGACGTATCACTTCTAAAAATATTATGTTAAATCTATTATATTAATTTCGAAAAAGGAAATAAAGACGATGATCAGATATCAGATTTGATCAGACTTCTAATGAATTCTAGTTATGTTATTCTGCAGAAAATTATGGACGAGTTTGAAATCATACTACATTTTCTAATTAAATCTAATATATATCGTATAATCCAATGTACCTATCACAGATTTAATTATGTATGGTACAGATAATATAATCTATATTGATATAATCATATATTGAGATGTAAAGACTAATTACGAGTATATCGCATAAGTCAACGAAACAAATATCTACATGCAAAGAATTATTTAAATATGGTATTATAAAAAAGAGCAATATAGTAATGTAAAGAAAAATTATATTTAAAAGTAACAAATTTGTTTCTCAACTATATATGTAGGTACGTCTACTTTGTTTGATTTAGATATTAATATTACCCATTACCCAATTCTGGATTGATCCACGGTTTGTTCGTATAATTGGTCAATAACTTCGCCACTTTTGTTATTACAACATTTTTATTGTTCACGTGCAATGTTGTTGTATTTTCCGTTCTTATAATAGCAATTTGTACACTTTCACCTTTATTGATCTTTTCATTCGTCACATTCATCTGAATGATTTCGTCTTCATGGTTAAACAAGTAAATGATTTGTGTCCCATTATGTATGAATAGATGTATGAAATTATTCAAGTTATCGTTAGCGTATAGTACTAGAGAGTTTTGATCGTATGTTCGCAAGTTCATTAATACATTTTCAGTCATCATATTTTTCAATCTATGTTTTTCTGCATCGGTTGCATTGTCTACTAAATAATTTTTCTTTAGATATGATTCCTTTGTTTGGAACGTTAAAGCTTTTTTGTTTATATCTGAAATACATGCAATAATATTGAATGTTATTTATGTAAGATTTTCGAAATAAAAAATAATATTTAAGTTACAAATTGTTGAACAATGTAAATAATATATTTCTTTTGATATTGACCGGCATTACATTAAATAATAATGGTTAGTTATAGAAAAAATACAATCATCCTTTTATGCGAACAAAGTTTAGTTCAAGAGAAGAAACAAAAAATATTTTAATCTAGTACAACTGTATACAAACAGTAACACTTAAAAATTTATATTTTGGGCAAAAGTTGCATCATTTTCAGTTAGGTATTTATGAAGAATAATAAATACGGGTAGTATTTGACCTACCTACTAGTACTACGTTAAAGAATAATAAACAAATATCTGTTTTTATAAAATCACTTACTCTCTTCGCAATGCACTCCTAAATGCGCCCAAGGATTCTTACATATACATTCATAAGACGACCACAGCTCTTTGCATGTCGCTTTGTTCTGACATGGATTTGGCACACAGGACGGCTTACAGTCTTTAATAATTTCGGAGAGATGGACAGACATATAACTGTATATATCTAAAACTTCGCCATTTACAACTAGACCTCTAAAGCAACCTATTAGACCTTGGTTTACAGCGGATTTTTTCAGGTGTTCTCTGAAATTAAGGACCAGACCTGATACAACTGCAATAGAAAATTAGAGTATGTGGAATGTTTAATACCACTGATATTATTAACTACCTACTCGTACACTTCACAAGGGTGCCCATGTATTATATATATATAAACCTTCCTCTTGAATCACTCTACCTATTGAAAAAAACCGCGTCAAAATCCGTTGCGTAGTTTTAAAGATTTAAGCATACATAGGGACGTACAGACAGCAACAGCGACTTTGTTGTATACTATGTAATGAAGAAAAAGTTTATGAGAAATATCCATTACTTGTTACTCTTTTAAGTCAAAACATCAAGATGAAGTCGAAAGAAATTTGGTATACAGATAGATCATGTTCTGGAATACTCAGGAGCATTAGCCGAATTTACGCCGGCAAAGTTGCTGATACAGTTATCAAAAATATTACTGATAAGAGTTAAGAGATTTGGTAGGGTCTAACGCTGAGAGTACCTACTACAATATTTTGTCTTTACAGGATAGGGAAGACATTTCAGTTGTCTGGAATGGCATGCATGAGAGTCATATGATATCGTGATATCTTTAGTGTCTTCATGTATATAGACAGTTACCGCTTATCAGCAGCTTGTTTTCCATTCCAATTACCTAAAATATACATACATACATATATTACTACTTACGCAGTAGCTCCCCCGATAAACATAGATCCCTCAAAAGGTCCGAATTCCTCCTCCAGTAATAAATTCAACATTTGATACTCCGTATTTAACATAAATCTGACATGGTAGAAGTTATAATCTATCCATATTTTGTGCCATTCACCACCGTTTAGTTTTCTTTTAGAGTTTATCACTAACTTCCTAGTAGTGCCAGTGTTGAGTGTGAAATTGAAGGTCAGCTCATGCTCTGCAATATATCGTGTCATGTCAGGATACGAAACAAATAATGTTTCTTGAAATACACTTAATATATTTTATTTAATATTCGTGTTTTAATTCTACCTACAGATTCTAATCAGAACTCTGATTCATACAAGAAAAATGTGGAAGAAAAGTTTCTACACCATTATTTACACACATTAGGTACACTTGGCGTTGTACCGTCTAAATTTCAACTTAATATTATTTTAATACGTAGGTACATTTGATATTTTATTGTTGCAATGCTGAAGTGTAATTTATAAAATCATGTTCTCAAACGTAAGCTACTATTTCTTTAAATATATTGAAGTATATGCACAAACTCGAATTATATAATAAATATCATGATCATGATTTATTACATTTGACTTTTGTTTTAAATAACAAATGTAAATGCCAAAGTTCTTCCAATATATGTGGGTGGTATAATATAGTTCGTAATGGCTGGTGGAATGTGTAATTTCACGCTTTGCGCTTATAATCCCAATCTTCGCCGTGGAAGGGCATGCAAAATAGACATTATTCCATTTCATTTACTTGCTTGCATGATTGCTTTGATAAAGGAGATGAACGCTGTATCAAATGCTTTAAATCTATTTTTAATATTGAACTTTTAACTGAATTGTTAAATTTACAGTTCATTGATTTTAGGCGATATAAACATTCAACATACAAAAAATAAACCTGGACAAGTTACATAGCACCATCTAGTATCAAGTTAGGCAACAGCTAGTATTATCTGTATTTGACAACTTAAAAATACATAAACAGTTTTTTTTTGTAAATACATATATAATATACATAGAAAATATCCAGACAAACAAAAATACAAATGTTTACATTGTGCAACGATGTGTTAAACCCTTTGGTCACTAATGCCATCAAAATATAATACAAATAATGACAATAAATGTATTTCTTTAACTACTTTCATTCTTAGGTTTCCAATTTAATAATCTATTTGTAATTTTACCGTAAATGAAATACTTAATAACATCTTATTAAAAAAGCGAATGTCTCACACTCTATACTAATATTATAAAAATATCTATATCGCTTTTACCTTTTTACGCCTAAACAACGCAATGGAAACTTAAATACTACATACATTTTTATGGAAGAATAAAATAGTTAAATTTGACGTACCACTAGTCAAAGCAACCATGAATGACGGGTAATTAGGTCTTATAGGCGGTTGGAACAGGAGTATAGCACTGGTCCCAGTTGTTCTGAAGCTGAACGCAATATCACCTTTTCGCCAACCTGGCACTTCTATATACGATTGTGATGTGGTGAATGTTACCACATATCGCTGCGTATCTGTAATAATATATTGTACCTGATTCCACCACTGCACAATTCCTCTCAGTCATTCAAAAGTTGATTGGAAGAAATACCTCTTTTGGGATAAGTTCGCCGTTGTACGCATTTATATTATAAGTCAATTGTGTCCTTTCTTACATAATTTATTGTAGAATAAAATATTACAAACAAACAATAATTACAAATTAAATGATTTTCCGATATTAATCAATTTCGTTTGGTATACAGGCTAAAAAATAGAGAGGCTTGTGGGTGATCTAAGAAACGTTCATGTATTCGAAGACAAGAAAAATATTTTTTGTCAGAGAGAGATGCGTAACATCGGGTAAAGTGGAGAAAGGAAATTAGGAAAGCTGGCCTTGATTACTACTTAGATACTAGTTGAGCGAAAGAAGATAAATTTAAGAAGTACTTAAATAGAATGGAAGTACGTAGATATATAGTCTTAGAAATTTTACACGATGTAAGTAATGTTTATACTTAGAGACATTACACAAATCTAGTAATAAAACTAATCTAATAACGGATTGGCAAGATGGGTAATAGGATTTCAGTCGTAGTTTTATTACAACCGAGCTTGAATTCAATACATTTATCAGGATGTTGACGAATGATAATGAAGGTCTGATGATTACGAAGCCCGAGATTATTGCAAGATTATTTGTTTATACCAAAAAATGCAATTCGCTCATGATTAGTAGCAGAATTAAAGTATTTGTTATGACACTGTGAAAATATGTGGAGACTGGTAATAATACGACAAAGGGTTAAAAAAAGAGACAGATGATAAATATTATTAAAAATTTGCGGGGAAAATGTTGGGGCGCTTCATACGACACAACGATATTATGAATAAAATTATTGAAGGAAAGAGGATAAGGGGAAGATCAAGACATAGCTATATATGGTAGGTATCAAACAGATTGAGGAAAAAGTTGGAGTGAATTGTGGAAAATGGCAATAGTTCCATCGCCAAGAACGCGGCTCTTAAATTATGAACGAATGAAGGAAACACTATAAATAGATAATTGACTAACTTGTTTCTACACATTCCAATGGGCCCAATGTGATTCTTCCCTGTGCTTCTTCTGTCAAATCTTTTTGCTGAAGAAAGAACATTTCGATTATACCCAAACTCTTGGGATCGACTAAAGTTCCTTCATCAGAATGCCATTTGTTGTCATTAGCATCACAGTTGCAGGATTGTGTTGGCTTGACGCAGGTTGCATTAACTCCGCACGGACAGTAACCTCTGAAGAATACAAACCTACTCAACTGGAGGGTCTTGGTTGAAGATAACGTCTAATCGACGAATGATGAGGTTAGTATAATATATTGAACAGTCACGTAATAAAGACTATTACTATCGATAACAGGAAAGCTTGACCCTTTTACAAAGTAGTCCCTTGAAGGCTTTACCATGGTCAGGTAAGTCCCTTCATGTATTTAATTAATAGGACAAGAGTTTTTATTTTTTTAAATTATTACGCTTTATGACTGCCAGCCAGACCACAGCACCAAAAAATTATCCTTAAGTTGTCAGGCATCATTGTTCTCAATAGTACGGGGAACAAAGTTATACGTGTTATAATATTTGCTGCTAATAATATTTTAACGTCTGGAGTATATTATTCCTAAGACAATACTATGCACTTAATTTTTCTCGTTATGAAGCAACTGGATTTTTACGGTACAACGTTCACGTCTGGAAATTGCCAAATATTACTACACTAAAACTACTTCTGTGTAAAATTAAAATACAATAATGTGAAATAAAATACCTCATCATTCGTCCACAATTTGGTAATACTTATACCTCTTAACGTTCCCTAAGAAATCTACAGTGTCATTTGACGATGATATGAACCATGTTGCACTATGTAGTTCCAAAGGCGCCATATTACAATCATATTTAATATATTGTCGGCAGAACAGCGAGTGCGATATTAGTTCTTGCAGCATTTCTGCTGTGAATTCTCGATACTTGATTTTGAAGCTGAAGTCTTGACCTAGAGCAGAGCGTACATCCTAAAACATTAAGGAAAATTTTGTAAATATAATGAAATTCTTATTATGGTAGTACTTTTCTGTTTACAGAAGATGGGACTAACTTGTCAATACTGTATACTAAATATATACAAATTTACGGTTTTTTAAAGTATAGGGGACAATCGAGCTTGCGTAGTAATTTGTTAGTATGTGATTACCGCAGCCTTTGAGCACCAGCAACACTAGGGGAATTGCAAATGTATTGTCGGGCTTTTAAGGCGGAATAAGCTCTTTTCTTGAAGGTTTCAATATTGTATTGGTTCCGAAATACCATTGCTAGAAGGTAATTCCATAATATGGTTGTGCGTGGCAAAAAAAAAACTGCAATAACGCACGACAGAGGACCGCCTCATCCAGATTATTAGGATTGTATTTTAGTACGTGCGATAATGAAATTCAGCAGCTGGTAATAATCCGAATACGTCCTTGGACGGTAATGAAATACAGTCACTACAACATTTTATGGTAAACTTGATACGGCAACATTCTGCAATTCGACTGAGTGGTACTACTCGCATATGAGTTGTTGTCATGGTTTAAAAGAAATGATAGCTAGTACAATCTCTGATTCTCTACCAATTCACAAAAGTGGTGGTGTTACATCGCATAAAGTATGCTGTTGACATAAATTATGAGTAATATGTACTTACTACTTGACTGGGTAAATTATGTTCAACAACAGTGGTAGAAGAGTCTGCTTCAATTTGAAACTCGCATTTTACATGTGCCGGAGGAAATCGACCATTGCCGTCAATGTCTATGAGGTAAACATCATTCCTGGTATATCCAAGAAGAGCCAACTCCTCGCATGTCTTACGGAATGTCGCGAAATGACAGTTCTCACCGATGTAGCCTAAAATGTTTGTAATTTTATTTGTTTCTTTTTTCATGAATTTTAGTGTGTATGTATAGTAAAAGTGTTGGAAAAACCATTCCGAATCATTGTTTCTATTTGAAAAATTCTAGCAGCTATACTTTCCAAAGGTTCAAGGTTGGCTATATAACATTTTTTATATATATTTTGATCAATTTGCAGTTAATGGTAAATATTGATAGCGCTAATTAATTAAGATAATTAGCTATCTGGAACTGGAACTCGTATCTTTAATGCGTTAAAATTTACATCACACAATATATCTAACCTGTATTGTCGCAGTTGCAGATAACTCTATCTTCTCTAATAGAGCAGATGCCGCCGTGTTCGCAAGTGTTGGGTCTAGTGCACGGATCGACATAACGACAGTCGTCGATGGCCACTTCACCAACAACTCGTTCGGTATTTATAACGTATCTGTTGAATAAAAAGCGACAATAAAACTTTGGATTATTCACATAAAGGGACGTGTTTTATACTGCGTTATATAGGTGACATGATATGTCATATAATTAATTTAAAGGAATGAACTATTTGTATTTTATAACTCGGCGACGATTATAGCTTCAATAATTTAATCTTCATGTTTTCGGTAACTTTATAGGTAAAGATTTAACTGTTCCCTACTGGTCCTAATAAGTATGTACTTGACATAATTTAGCTAAGTGAATTTAGCAGAAGAATCATTGAAATCTATCTTCAACTTTTGTAATTATAAACATAATAAAAAATCGGATAGTATCATGTTCTAATAAATATTAATAATTGTACTATTTTTGTACCTTGGTTCTATGAGCAAGCCATTAATTTTAATATTCCTCATGCATCCAATCAGACCTAAGTTAGCAGATTTGAGTCCGCTGCCAATGACGATCTTGTCTTGGAGTTGGAAGTCCAGACCTGTAACATATAGTAATATAGATTTTCAACTTTTCATTGAGATATTAATTATTTAATTAATAAATGAAGGAACATGAGATATTTATTACAACAGGAATAGTGGACAATGTCTTCGACTACTTTATAAGATAATTATTACTTTTTGTATTTATTACTCTTCATTACATCTGAAATGAAACTAATGAACACAATTTGTAAAGTATGAAGGTACAAAAGTCGGTTTTATCATTAAAAAATATCTTCGAATTTTAAAGATTACATTATCATTACCATCGATTTTTGCTATTCAGAGTCCCATTACTAAACATGGGCATCTTCCATAGACGGTAATATTAATTGTTCAGAATCACCTGAATCTTGAAGTTGACGCTATCTTAGAGTCGCCCTTCATTGTATTTTCTTATAAAAGGGTTGAGAATCTTTATACTTAATCGGTTATCGGTTTTCTAAGCTACTCGTATTTAGAATTACAATTATGTGTAAATATTTTAATAATGATTTTTAAAGATGAGATTATTGATATTAGTAGCTGCAAGTGCAAAACATCCTGTTTAGTTGGTTACACTTGATTTCGTTTCACTAATCGGAATGTTGTGTTGTACGGTGTCAATATAAACAAGGTGACAGTCTAAATGATAATCGAGAACATAGCAAGAGCATAAAATGTTTTACGACGTTTACAATTTTTTTATCGTCTCGGTGAAACACTAATATAAAAAGTAAATAAACATTTAATTGCCTTATTTAAAAACATTTTAATATATACGTCGTAGGTAGGTACAATAAGATAAGAAAAAGTTGAGGCAGTGCACTATATTTTTTTAATGGAATGGCCAACAAGTCTATAACAACTGGCAATCGCGAAATTGCCTGTTAGTGAGACAGAGTTACCCACGTAGACGATTTTCTATAAAGACTAAGAAAAAATGCAAACCGCATTTTTTCTTTTTAATTAAATTTTAAATAGAAGTTGTAGTATTCTGCGATCCCTATTAATCTTTAATAATTTTTATTTTATTCTTTTCGATTTAATTTAAAATACCTCTAGTATTGTTATTTGACAGAAAAACTAACTTTTGTTATCTTATTTCTCAGGAGTACCAGAGTATGAGGTGTACTGTGGGTACTCCAATATGTTGTGTAATGTGGGGATCCCTCTTCGATCCTTTTCTTTCAGTTGATCTGTCTGGGCCTTTACTGTTCTTATGGGAATATGTATGATATACTTACCAAACATTTGGGCATGTTTGTTATGATAATCCACTGTCAATTTGATCCTTCCTTTCCTATAATCTATTTCTACTGTATGCCAATCATTGCTTACATTGAATTTTACCGATTTCAGTACTGTAACATTTTTTCCGACGTCAGGTACTAGTTCGAATCTAATTTCTTCTTTAACCATTCGGACCTACAATTATTTGGAAAAATATTTCATTATCAGGACTACCAATATTTAAGATGAGGACAGATTATTATCATGCAGGCCAGTAGATGTACTCTCAATCAATCTCATATGGATTTGAATCCAAACCAGTTGTCTTACGGTTCTTTTGAAACGTAATCAGGACCAAACTGAATAAATGTATAACAATGCCAATTAGGGCTATCATTGATCACGAAATATAATATTAATACGTTCGAAGTAGTTAGGTACTTATATGGAAGAGTATAAAAACGTGCGAAATGTCGCAACCCAATGTTATCGGACCTAATTACTTTCTGCAGGTTTGCTATCAGGATTTATATACATTTGACCTCCTATTCCACAAATTACGTTATTACACGTATTACATATGTAAAATTGATTGTTTTTGAAATCAATTAAATCTTTAAAGTTGAAAATTAATTGTAACTTGTCACCTATTCTTCTAAATAATAACTTCAACATTAACACCACAAAACTACACTACACTGCATATCTATACTTATTAATTTATGGCCAATATTTCTTCCATATACCGTATATTATTAAAAATAGGGGTTTCCCATATTATAGCCGTTAGCAGTTTTAGTCACCAGCTAATTGGCAATAGGTATGTATTTTCATTACAAAAAGCCACTTCAGGTTAAAGACATAAAGGAAAAGTATTTCATAATTTATGATTCATCAAACATAATACCTACAAGCATCGTTAAAATCGCAACAACACTATCTTCTTATATAAAATATACAATTAAGCTATAAAATTGATTAACATACTTCGATTTTTTATTTCCACTAGCCACATTAAAATTTTTAAAGTTGAAACAAACATCAGTCTGACAACAAAAATTCACACCTTGGGTAACAGGATATATGATTTGTTTAGAATAGGTACTTATAATAATACATTTACCTTCATAGACTCCTAAAACATTTTCTTTAAAATTTGAATTAACCATATTCTCCAAATAATCCAATTTTAATTATTTTGAATTATTCAATTGGATATAAAGTAACACTTTCACAACTTTTTACTTGTTGCATTTTTTTTTATTGTATTGAATAAGTATGTTGTAACATTTTCAAGATACAATGCAATTTTTAACTACCGCGGTATAAATTTGGCGAGAGAGGTGATAAAATATTCTTTATAAAAAGATCTAAAGATAGTGTCTGCAGAACTTAGGGATAAGTTAGTAAACTTTTGGACCTAAATCGATTATACCTAGAACATTTAAAGATTATTAACGAACTTGTAAAGTTGAACAGTCTGTATATGGTACATCCATATGCAGACGATGATTATTATATTTAAACTTACCTCCCAATAACCTTGGCCTGAGGTAATCTGACTGTATGCCAACACAGCCATATTCTTGCTGGTCTTAAAATCGAAAATCAAGTTTATACTGTGACTCTGATTCAACGGCCACCATATATGGGATGTTGCAAAAGGATATGTTATTGGAATCACTTCTATATCAATCTCTTCGAACTCAGGATCCAATACGCCAATATAGTGCACTTTAGTATTATTCTGCTTCAGTTCATAAAGTATCGACACATCATTGTAATAAACATATTTTAAGTTGCCGGCGAAATTGTTGAATGATTTTAGTCCTTTCATTTTATGTAAGTCTGGACCACCGCATATATATATTTCGGGATCTATGCACACGAATTTTGCATCACCCGGGACTTCGTAATCTCCTCTTATGGCGTCTAAATATACGATTAAGTTTTTTTCTTGTAACACAACAGTGAGATTGTGCCATTCGTTATTATTTACTTTATTGCCTATATAGTCTTCCACTGGGCCATCTCCTAGGTCTATTTGGATGGCTACTTTTTCTTGGTGTATCGATAGCGCGATATAATGATGCTTGTCATCGATTTGTCCACTGGCGTAGAACAGAGCTGAGTCATCGAAACGCGTCTGTAAGAATGGACACACCTTGTGCAATAAATTTGTTATGACGGTTGACGTTTTGACTTTATTTAGATTTAAGAAATACCTGTGTTTTTAGTTTTGGTCTATTGACTTTATAGGTATATATTGAAACATTGCATATGTAATTACGTCGCAACAAAAACATGACATTCTTAATATAAAATTAGTGTACTTAATATGTAAAGAAAAAAATATAAACAACGTCAATTGAAAGCCAATGTCTAGTCAAATTATATCCAATTAGCATAACAGGAATCTTATAATTTTATTTTACTTAGATATACTGTGCTAATAACGACATGATATATGATATATTAAATTCAATAATAGTATTCTCACGTAATGGATTATACTAAAAATATCTACTTTATATTTACATATATTTACTAATATTTTTTTCTAATTTATTGTTCATCTGGATTGCTTATTTCATTGATAACATGATATCTTACGGCATGAACCGCCTTTAGCCTAATTCCTACAATGCTAGCTAAGAAGAAAATTTTAGATTAAATTATACATAAAGATATAGCATAAGCTTTAATATCTACTGTTTCTTTTCTTGTACTGATGTGATATGGTATCCTCTAATGTCTCTTACAATATGTTGGAGCTGATAAGTAAACCAACTTCTTGTTTGATAAGTCATGAATTATCGTGGTCTAATGACCAGTCAATCAGTCTCTTACTCCACTGGATAGTTATGTAGTGTAGTGGAGTAAGAGACTGACTGATCGCAATTTTTTTCTACTGGGTGCTATTTTGGTACACTTATGGAGTCCACATATATCACGTCCTTATCGTTTAGAATTCTATGGATTAACTGATCTCTGATTTCTTTTCAACACATGACTGTAGAAAGTAAGGGAGACTTACCTTGAAATGTAGGCTTACTCTCGTATTGGTAGAGTGCACCCGATCTTTCCAATCGTAAACTCGATACGACACATAACTGGAGCCTCGTAAAGTGAGCACTGTCGCCGCTGCAATGGGTGATGTAATATAAAATAAAAACAACATAATTATATACAAATTGTGAGAGTGGTAGATTAAATGTTTTGACTTTATTGAATTAGGATTACACATTGAACAGCGCTGACTTTGATGCAGTATATTTTTTTATGTAATTAGAACGTCAAATGAACTGACCCACCTGATGGTAAGTGGTAATTGTCGCTCATATTTATGAACAGCACTTGTCACATCATCGTGTAATGGCTGTGGTATCATTAGTTGCAATTCCAGGGGATTAAAATTCATGTCTCTGAATATTGTAACTTTACTGTTATATTTTACAAAGCTGTTTAGCGCAGAATTAATCAGTAACTGCAGATGATCTAATGATGATTTTCATTTGATCGATTTTAAGTAATATATTTACTAATAGATTTAACAATTACTTAAAATAATATTATTTTAAGTAATTGTATATCAGATATCTGCATTGATATTATTGCCGAGTCCAGAGCGATAAAATCTTAGAAATGAACTAAATTGTAGAATAAATAATTGGCCATGACCTAATCGCCTGGGTGTAGATTAGAAAAAAATTATAAGTTTTGCAAGTTTTGTTAAGATAAAGAAATTTAAGTTTTAAGGAGGTCTTATCTTTGACTCCATCTGTGAGTGTGAAACACGTGCTGCTGGTTTTAACCTTAATAATCAACTATGACTCATAATGAGTAAGAACCTTAGGGCTATTGGCTATTATGCAAAGTTCTTAACCTAAAATAATCAGCAATTTATGCTTTTCAGAATTTGTTTATTTATTACATATTATTATTTACTACGTACGGCTTAACTAATCATAAAAGAAATGAACTTATATGCAGGAATTGGGATAGAGAAGGACTAAGGGAATATATAATATATATTTCTCGACATTTGAAACAATATAATCCCAAGCTAAGCAGAGCTTGTGTAATGGATACTAGATAACCGATGTGTATAATTAGAAACACATAGCTCGATACAAACAATTATAATCATGATAATATATCACAAATATTTATACTTTGCGAGAAATCGAATCTGCGATCGGAAGTGAACCCGTGTGTAAAACCGCTAGACCACTGAGGCTGTCGAGGCTACTTCTGTCTAGATCAATCGTAGTCACGCGCATATAGACGCGCAAGTAGAGATATCATATCATAAAGTTTTAGTATACAACTCATCATCACAATGTTTGCGAGTGGAGTGCTATAATTCAAATAATGATTTAATCTACAAGGCCATGAGACTCATAATTTTATTTATGATATAATAAATTTTAAGTAAGGTAAATCAAAATAAGAGTTCAGTAGTTTAGATGTGCAATAAAGTTAAACGTGAGTAAATAGATACTTTATCAGATAGTTAAATAAAATTTATATAATGCCTTTAACTGGGTATTGAAAATTTACTACTGTATAGATGTTTACGTAATAAAATATTACATAGGATTTGTATTTTTTGAAACAAGTTTTTGGATGCTTATATGTTAAACTTGATGCAATAATATCTTTTATATTACCTACAAGTTTATGGGATAGGTATTGTTACTATACAATTGCAATAGAAATAATTGTCCGGCAATTAACTAAGATAAGCATCACATAAGATTATTGTTTATTTAAGGTAGGTTTCTTATAGTGTACATACAGTATAAAAAATCTATTTCGTTTGTATAGATATATACATTACATATACCTATACCACAGATAATATAATATTACATAATAAAAAACAATACAGATTTGTTTATCTAATGCATGTTCCTTGACGGTAGAAATTAGTGAGACTGCGGTGCCGACGATGACAACTTTTTAAAAAGTCTACCTTCGTTATACCACAAATAAGATAATGTATAATAATAAGATACATAGTTATACTTCTAAAATTTTAAAATCAAAGTCTACTACTTACTATGAAACATTCATAGTGAGTAGTAATAATTAAATAGATGTAAGTAATGATATACAAACTGTAAACATCGCAGAGGTGTTCCTCATACAAAGTACCAAAACAATCGCATCTGTATCCATTATATTCGTTGATGCACCTCGAACCTTCAAAGCACAGATTCTCTGTTGTTTTACATTTGTCTATGCACCCCTCCTTTACGTTTTCATGTTTCGTAGCAATGAGAGGTACTATAGGTAGAAGATCAGAGGCAGCTTTCCCTGAACTTAATACCATATCACTAATGCAGCCAACAAATGATTCTATTATATATTTAACGCCGTGTAGCTTTTCCTCTGAGCTAAGACCTGAGAATTAAAATTACATTAAAATTACTAATAAAAAGAATACATCTTCGTGACTGCCATCCCAGATGGGGTACTGAGAAGCTGTGTCGCCTTATCGATGTGGTTGAGAACGTAAAACTTGATATTTCCCTGGGTATATTTGAATTAAACCTGAACCTAAAAAAAACCTGATCGGGGCCGAGACAAGGTCTCCCAAATTAATCTAGTTTGTTATCAGTGTTTCCATCTCCGGAGAATAAGTCAGGAGTACAAATAGATATAGATTTTTTTTCACTTTTATAGGTAAGTGCTACATGTAGCATCTATATTAGGTAGGACCTATTTATTTTCTCCTCAGTTATTAATGATTTATAATTACTTATACTAATTAGATAATAGATGCAAAGCTATGGCCGGGCGAAAATCTACATACTAGATTTTTTAAATTAATATGTATATTAGTTTTAAATATATATTTTTTTAAACGTCACTTTTTATATATTTATTATATTTAATTTATTTATTTGTTTGTCGTAAATATGGGTAGAAATGAATAAAGATAATAGGGAGTGATAATTTAAACTATAATTTAAACCAATGTTAAGAGACTTACCTCCAATTAAAATGACAGATGTTAAGTTGTCTGTTATACCATAGTTCGTGTCAAAACTCAATCCCTAAAATGAAAAGCACTTTACAGAAAAAATAATTAGTAATTTTTATCTATGTTTGATACTACATAAATATCAAACATAGATATTATTGTATTAAATTATTCTTTTAAACTAAAGAATTTCTTTTTTATAACTTTTTAGTAGGCATGAAGAATAATCAAGTTTTGCATATTGTTATTAAATTTTTAATGAAGATCTTAAAATCGTTAATTTTACAATTATATAAATTGTTATTATATTAGTACATGGTTTTAATTTTCAATTCATACTTCTTTGCAGCTCTTCTATTTAAGGCAAGTACCTAAAAGAGGAGGCAGAGTTAACGGATGAGTATCATAAGTGTGTTCTGATTAGGACTGACCTTTAGATAAACTTCTTCTTTTAGTTGATCAACTTTTGCGATAAGCCGCGCTCCGTGTACGTCGATGGTGACCACCACACTGTGCCACTGGTCCCTGTTCAGTGCGCGGCCCACCGTTACAGAAGTAAGGTGCTTGCCGAATACGTGCACCACTTGAAAATTGTAATATTTCTCTCATTTATTATTTGCATTTTATTTACCTACATACACGCCACTTCCGTGTAGGTAAATAAAGCAGCCAGTGTCCAGTGTCCAACAGCGTGACGCTGTTTTAGGTTGACTGGAAGAGATCTCTTTTAGAGATAAGTCATCCTTTGCTCACAAAATTTCTGATGTGTTTTAATTTTTGTATTTAAATGAGCAATAAAGATTACATATTTATTTACTGGATATCTCAAATGACATACTGCGGCTACTCCAAATAATAGGATAAAAAAATAGCAAAATTTAAAAAGAAAAAAATATACAAATACAAATATTTGAACCGGCGAGTAATCGAACCTGCAACCATTGGAAATAAAGCGGTATGGTAAACCGGTAGACCATCGCGCCCGTCAATAGAACAAATTATTATGATTTTTTAAATAAATGTGTTTTGAATTAGAAGTGCACTTAATAAAAGCATTAACTAAATACTTTATATGAAATTTATTCAGCATTGAATACTTTGTTTAAAGAATGTGTAAAGTAGTCAGGATGTACTAGGTACAGGAACATTTTTAAGGTTACGTGTTCAAACATCAAGGTTCTATATACCCTGGTACCACCACGAATGTTGACAATAGTAATACTGCATTTAATTTAAAGTTTTAGTAAGTTTTCTTCACGGCCATAGTTATCTAGCCTTGAATTTACACCAAAAATCGATGCATTTAACTACTTTTACGTACAGGTGCTTTACGTGACAAAGTCTAATAATTATAATTACAATATCATTATCATTGCCTTGTCTATCTATTCTATTATTTTGGTTCAGCATTATATGACATCTTCTACTAATCCTTAACAGAAATTATAGTTTACTCCTCTTTTATGTATATCTTTCACACAGTCCATCCAACTTTTCTTATTTTTCTCTATCTGTGCACGACGCACTTCTTTAAACATTATTTTTTGTCTATTATTTGATCATCATCATCATCCTTATTCTTTTGTTATCTGTTTTACTTTTCACACGCACAATTATATTATGCCTTATTAAAAAACATCTTTCCATAATTATATTTACCAGCGTAATGTACCTATGTATATACAGTTCTTCGCTCACGGTATTCCTCAAAAGAATATTTCCTAATCAGAATATACTAATTAATTATATTCTCATTAGGAAATTACTCATTACTTACTAAAATACTCTTTTTTAAACTTTCTTTTAATACACATTATGCAGTCACCTCATGACCACGGATAGTGTTTTGCACAAATTTTGTACTAGCCGGCATCTTATAAAGGATTTATATATTATTATGGTCCATTATATATGGTCCTGCAAAATCTAATCAAAAAGACATTCTGGCTAGTGCACTGATGATACCATGTTGAGAATAAACTGAGTCTATTTAAGAATGTCTTTCAAATTAATGTAAACAAAATCTTGAAATATAAGTAACAGCTTACAAAAACAACTTGTCGTTATATTATTACGAGTATATGCTGTTAATTTGTATGAAGCGGTATTCTGAAATTTATGAAACCACTGCCATGTCAATCAAAAGCTTAATATTTTGTACGTGGGTTTAAAAAGGCTTATGTAGTTGTCCATGTAATAACATGTCCAATTTATTAATCAAAAGTGATATTGCTGTTATCTACTAAAAATCCATATTAAGGTCGTAATTTATTACTACAAGTGGCGTTACGTCTAGACGTTCTGTTTATAGTTCTTGTTACTGGCAACTTGATCAGTTTTATCTTTTGTTCTATTTTTACATATTAGTTTCTTCGATATTTCTATTTTATATGTCAATTTTGATTATTTCAGTTTCGTTGTTTTATTATCACAGTTTCCAAATAAAGGATAATTATTATATAAACACCGTTATTTGTTATTTAAATCATGCGGTCGTCGCCGTCTTTTTGTAATGCATATTAAGAAACATCGTCTAATCAATGAATAATTCGTGGCCAAGATACTAATACACAATATCTTTTATTATTAGATATGTCAGGTCAGTTTATTTGGCCAAATTCGAACTCATGTCTTTAGGCTTTCTGTAAAGCCTAAAGACATGAGTTCGAATTTGGTCTGTCGTCAAATCGTAATTTGCAATTTCCTTAATCTGGTATAATATAAAATCATTCTGATTATATGTTAGGTATATTATTCAAATAATACACCTCCACTCACCTTTTAATTCACCTTTTTCCACGATTACGTATAAAGCGTAAGGCTGCATCTTGAATACGGGATTCTTAACATTATGATACACTAGCAGGCCATGAGGAAGCCTCGTACGGAATTTAAATGATATTTCTCTGCATAATCTGAAAATGTATTAAAGCCCTATTATTATATCCTTGTTATTATAGATAAATTAGCTGCTGTCCGGGCAAACGTTGTTTTGCCTTAAAATAAAAAAAAAAATTAGGGGTGGACTACCCCCAACATTTAGGGGGATGAAAAATAGATGTTGGCCATTCTACTCAATATGCTCACAAAATTTCATGAGAATCGGTCAAGCCGTTTCGGAGGAGTATGGGAACGAAAACTGTGACACGAGAATTTTATATATAGACAAATACATACAAGTTATATATTATTATATCACATATTAGTACTAAAAGATTACAAAGAACATTGACAACAAAACTATTTAAATGTTTTGATCGTTAACAAAAAGAAATGGATTCTAAGAATTCTTTTTTCATAGCCGTACCAGTGTAACTTTAACTTCCACGATACAGGAATACCCTAGTGTGGTGTCATAGGATTATATTTCGGAAAACTTAACGTAACATTTTATGTAGTTTTACCTCAACTGAAATCTTTGTATTATATCACCATCCAACTGTATATAAGTGTTGTCTTTAGCAAACATGAACGTGCGATGATGGCCAGACTCTGCGAAGGTCAGGAACCTGTCTCTATCGCTTGGCGGTATAGGTGGTATAATTGTGGCATAGGTTGAAGTGGAAATATTGGCTGTAGTGGTAATTGATGAAGTAGATGTGAGAGATAATGTAGTTGGTGGTAATGCTGTAATAGATGTAAAATATTATTAAAATATATTAATTTGTGTGAACAGTCATCAGAGACGAAGAAAATGAGCTCAATTTAAACTACGGTGGCTATTGTTATTGCAGTAGTACATAATATATGTGACAGAATTAACTATATCTTTATATACATTTAAATAAACCACTTTCGAAAGGATCTTTAATAATGGAGTTTCCATTATTAAATTATTTACCCCATTGCATTAATAGGTTAATTATGTAATAATAACGCAGGAGATAACATACAACCCCATCTAGATCCAAGCTAAGCAGAACCTCAGTTATGGGTACTAGATGCATAACTTATAGAAGTACTATTCTTGATGATTACGCTGACTTGATGGATGGTTAAATCCTTTTATTTAGTATGGCTGCCCTGTCAGGGTATACTTATAGTTTAGATGATATCACGGTTTTATTAATTACTAACAAAAGTATACCTTTTTCTTCTGATGTTAAATCTACCGGCAAACTGGTTTGAACATCAGCTGTTCCGTACAAAATAAAAAGTAGAATTAATTTTATTCCTCTTCCATTCAGCGGCGTTCTCATCTTGCTCGATCGAGTTCATTTATCTGTAATATTTAATAGGATATCATTCGGAAATTTTATTTATAAAGTATTTCAAGTGAGGTAGATTTTGTACGAAATTGTTATCATGAGTATTATCTTACCTACACCTCAACATCGTCAAGCAGCTTGCTTTGTTAGCTTTATACTTGAACTAGCACTATATTTGAATTTAAATTAAAAATATAGACTATGTGTTATTCTGATGTATAAGCTATATTACTGTAAAGTTTCATCAAAATCTGTTCAGTAGTTTTTGCGTGAAAGAGTAATAAACATCCAGACTCATAGACTATCGTGCTTTTAATTTTAGTAAGAATTAAGATTTAATGTCGGATATGGATTTTCACATTTTAATTCTTAGCGATACCAATATATGAGGGCATTTCTCATAGCACAGTTACAATCTTTGTTTAATAGAGCAATACGCAAGTTTTATATCGTTATTCTTATGATGAGACAGCTTAGCGAATGAGCGGTCGAATAACAAAAAAAACGTCTATTCATAATTACCTAAAATTATTTTTATAGAAAATTTATTTCATCACTTTATTCTTCAAAATCTGTGATTACATAGGAATTAGAATTTTGTAAGTTACAGTTTTCAAAGGTATAGATTACAATAAAAACTTTATAGATAGTGTTATAAACCCACACGTCTAAAACTGTTTATACAAAAAAAAACGGTGGTTTCTTAAAAATCAATAAGGACATTGGAATATAAATTTTATTCTCCAACACTAAGGTTCGGTTTTCCATTGCATGAATTGACATAGGGTATTGAGCGGAAATACGGAATCAGAGAGTGTAGTGTGGGATGACTAAAATGCTTCTATTTTAAATTGAACTGCCACTTGTATAGGCGAAAGTAAGTTCAGAGGTCATTTTATAATAGACGCGATGTTCGGCTAAATTGGCTCAAGTAACCGCTTGTCTCGAGATGATGCTTTAGGTTGACACATTGGTTTTGGAGTGAGTATCACTATATGGATTCAACAGTTTTTAATTTTATAGAACAGGATTTTCATATTAAGAATAGATATTTGAGTATTAATATACATATTAAAGAGATGCAAAATGTTATAGTCTATATATATTACCAAAAAAATATTTGATGTAGTTACTTACATAGTGAGAAATAATAATTATTCAATACACATGAAAAACACACTCTATAAATAAATATTAATTTACATAATTCACAACATAAAATGTAAAAAAAAATTGTAAATAAACTAAATTACATTTGGAACAACTTGATTAAATTTTTAGATATTTCCCGCCATTTTAATACTTTTTTCTAACACTTAGCATAGATGTCAAACACAAAATGAAATTGATAATTTATTATCTTCAGATATTTGAATTTGGAATGTTCTAAATTTAAAATCACGGGCTCTAGCTCGTTGGTAATGCGCCCCCCGTTAGCCGTCGAGCACTGACGCGAACTTTAACAACATGTAATAACAGTGACAATTTGTGCTCATGGGTCAAACTCGTTCCCAGGAATAGGATACAGGACTCGAGCGGAGCGATTCCATCGACTTAAGATCCCTTTTATTAAAAAAAACCTCGGCTTTACCCGGGTGATCTTTAGTTTTGTAAATATAAACATACTACAACGAGCTAATGTCTACTCTGGAATAACGTACTTTTCAAACAGTAATAAAATTACAAAAACGGTGATGTATATGATCTTCATAATAGTACATGAATTTTTGTCAATGAGGATACAATGGGTTTTATCCAAGTGCAAAAATATTGAGGTAGACTTTATATAAAGTTCTGTGTGTCACCAATTTTACCCGCAAACCAGCTTGCTTTGTAACATGTGTTTCTGTTGAAGTAAGTGAATTTATTGAGGCATGAAATCTTAGTACCGTATCATGTGATATTGTTTGGATTATGGTGGTGGTTTTCACGTGTAAATAGGCGACGATTATCACTTATCCTTAGGTCATATTATTAGTAATAATAATAATTAAAACTGTATATAATAATTGCACTTTTAAAATACATTTTAAAAGTACAATTTGCACGTCGTATGAATGCATTCCGTGTTTAATTAACATTGCATTTGTGGAATAAGTCACTGTTTACCACGTACTGGTAATTTAATCGCAGTTAATTGGCAATGAACATCAATTTGATACGATTTGAGTTAAAGAGTTCATTTTACAACACGTAATCTATGTTTTGTTATGTGTAAAAAAGAGGTTATGTAATTTATTTTACATTAATATTTAATTAGCGTCACGTATAAACATATATAATATTTAGGCTTGATAGAAACATTTAAAACACAAATATTCCAATATACATCAAAATGGATCTTGCGTTTGAAACTATAGGTTTCCTAAGAGTAATTCCTTAGTCCGTAGGACGGGTAATGTATTTATTTATACATAATATACATATACTGTATGTAAGAAAAGGCTTTCAACAGGTAAACTGCCAATTTCTTTATCATTGAAATATTATACCGAAATATATGACAATAATACAAGTTATTTGCGGACTTTCCCGATTTTTTTCCCGCTAACCGTACGAGTTTTGCACGGCTAGCGAAAATATTTGGTATTTATTCACACATTGGATTGCATTATTGAAATATAAAAATAACATTTATGAAAATGTTTATCTTCTGTTTTCATCAGGCATAATGTAGGGATCTAATGGCAAAGGAATTTTTCAAATAAATCCAGTAGTTTCGGATCCTATTCAATGCAAACTAACGAATAATCAAATCTTTCCTCTTTATAATATTAGTGTAGATATCACAAATTCATTTATTATTTTAATTTGCACGTATACACAAAAATATATCTTATACGCTGTAAAACGGTACCTACCCTTGTTATGCTTAAAGTTTGGTCGTAAATCGTCGTTATTAGAAGATATTATTTAAAGTGATTTAAAGTACTTTTATTGGTATATTTCTTTTAATATTACAAATTATTAAAAGTACTTAATAAATTCCTTTTTAATTTAAATTAAAGTATATAACTTCGAGTATTGCAGAACTTGCAGTACATATGTATGCATTTATGTACTTACTGACAAAGAAACTTGTCCGGATTGACTGCCTGATGTACCTGTAATGTAATGTAAATGTAATGTAGTTAGGTGAATTTCTCACTTCACTTCAAAGATCTTGATGAACGATACAGTTTCAGAAAGTTTTAAACCGTAATCCGGTTTTTGGTATTTTTCGTCAAATGAAGAAATTATTTGGAGAAAAAAGGGCGACACCGTTCTAACACAGCTAAAACATATTTAAAAAGTTTAGCGATTTTATGAATAAATTAATGACTTTTGCGGAGGATAAACCGCAGTAAATATCTTATTTACTGTATATTTTGTAAATACATCATAATTATAATTGCCACATATTTTAAAAAGTATTTTAAACACGATTTCAAATCACGCAAATATATTTTGAAAATCTTTAACAATAACTTTACTACTTTCTTGTCCGTTGTTCCATTGTATAAACAATTTCCAACGCTTTCATTTTCAATACTACCCATATTTGGTTACAATAAAATGCGTGACAATAATAAATCCGGCGAAATTACTATTGATAAAGTATTATATCGTGATGCCACGAATTTGACGATTGTCCTATAGTACAAAGTCTATAGATACTCATGTGTCTTCTTATTTTATTTTTTATTACAAATATATACTTTTATATTTTTTATAAAGGGTACAATTTTAGGTTCATAGTTGATATACTCACGATTTATAGTATCATTCAAAGTATGTTTTTGATTTCAAATAGCGACTTCAATATAAGCAGAGTGAAAAGTTTTTGTTATGAGTTATAACAATCATAACAAAAACTTTTCACAGAACCATTTCATCGGTTTTAGAAATTATTTCATCGTTTGAAAGATACATTATTTCAGCGTGTGATATATGATATTTATATAATCATGTTATTATATACAAAGCTCACGAGATGTACCTACTTGCTGAACCCAGGTCGAGACACAAGTTGAAACAAAGATTAGCTAATAATACACTTTAAAATATAGCAGTAAGTTTATGATCTAAAGATAATAAACATGATAAGTGAAGTGTCTATTTCAGAACTTAATTATGGACAGCAAAAAAGAAAGGTTGACAGAAGGAGAACGTGGTAATAAAGTTCTAGATCAATGTCCAAATATCATGTCAAACTTTATAATGTACGATGGCGTAATTTGTTACAATAATCCTGTGATAGTTTTTTGTTTGTTACGTGAACTCCATTGGTTTTTTCTTTTTTAAATTATTATGCCTAATAAGCGGCCTGCCTGACCGTAACCGTCTCCCTATATACATGAACATCACGTTATCATGTGACACACGCGATACCACTCATGCGTTGCCATTCCAGAAGACTAACATTTTGTGTCTTTTATCCTGTAATTTATTTCTGAACTCATTTAATAAGTTGATTTGTAAGATTGGTCTCAAAGAAATTTCATGAAAATTGGTTTCGTATTTTGATGTAATTAAAAATAATGTAGTGTGAGTACATACATATATACATAGGTATGTCTGTTGTCGTGAAGACCGAAGTAAGTTGTTTTTATTTTGTTACAAAATATACTTGTAATGATTTTTTTAAAATAAATAAGGTTTATTTTTAAATTAAATGAATTGGTTGCAGATGGAAGTGGTTGTTTTGTAAAAAATAATAAATTTCGGAGTCTGATACTTGATGAAACATTTGATCTTTGGTTGGTTCATAAATTACTGGGATCGTAAATACTCGTACTATAATCGTCGATATTTGTATAATTTTGAGCAATATAATCTTTATAATCTTTAAAATATAGTCCATTGAAGAACTCATTAGGGCTTAACAATATATTTAGGTATATACGAGCAGAGTTTAGTCTTATTAATATAATAAAAGTCAAGTAGTTTTGGTGTTTCTTACTCAATGGATTTAAATGATAATTGTTAGGGTCACGGGCAATGATATTTGTAAACACCTACGTTCAACAGTGGACGATACATGCGAGATTGTGATGACGATACCTTATATGCAAGCTACTTAAAATATAACAGTAAGTATATCTCTGGTAAGCACTATATAACATTATAAAAAAAGAAAATAAGTGGAACTTGTTCGTCCCGGATACGAGAATATTTTATTTTCATATTTTTATTCTTTTTTTGTAAGTGCATCACGTAATCACTATTGAATATGAATGTTCGAAAACATTACGTAAGTTTTAAAATAAAGAATACTAGGTTGTTTCGCTACAAATACTATGCCTTGTTTTTTTAATATTTTTATCATGATGGAAACTAGAATTGTCACGGAACTAAAATGGTGAAAATAGTAAAAAGAATCAGATGGTTTGAAGTAGTAATTTTATTACTATAAGTCTCATTGTATAGCCTGATTAATTATTAGCTATGGAAAATAAAGGTTATCTAGTAACAAACTCGTACAAGCAATTACACTATAGACCGCTATAGTAAATGCTTGCGTTTGAATTAGGAATTAGAATTTAAGCAGACCGAAAGTAACCAATAGTGGGAAGAATTTAAAACTGCCAATATTCAATGTTCACTCTATAGTCCAAACAGCATATATTCAATCGAAAATAATAGTCTAGTGGCGATTCTGTATTGGCTAATACAGTATAAAGCGCTGTACCAAATAAAGTAAGGACCTTAAATATGATGCAGGAAACACGTGACTTCACATAATAACAGTTACTTGTGGAAATCTATGGGGAGTACTATATTCAGTACTGGACAATAAATTGTTCAAATGATGTTGATAATTTACGTAACTATGACTTCCTTATAATACTAAGTGTCCTCGAGAAACATAACCTGTACTGGTATAAGGTGGTTCATGAAATGGTAAGTAGTTAGGCAATGTCTGATAATCATAAATTCATATAGAACCTAATAGATGCATATATAAGAATAAATATTGCTTTGTTCATCATTGCCTAGGGTGTACTACCTCGCCTTACTTCTAAGAAGTTGTGAGGTCACATCTAGAGAGAAAATGTTGTATATTTATTTCTATTCCGACTGACTCTGCGACGAAGGAAAAACGAATAATAAACCAATAATTTATCCAAGAGACGGCGGTAGGCTCACTCCCTACTTTTTTTAAGAAGTTTTTATTTTATTCAGAGTAATAAAAGATTAAACAAGTACAATATAATATTCTTCAATAACTTATAACGAATTTAATAATCTATTTCTTATTAATATTACATTATTAAGTTGTTTTTTATTCGATGTCTTCTCAATTAAATCGCCTAGGGATGGCAACCGCACGGGGATCTATAAATACAACATTTTGTCATTTGGTACGAGGACATTCTTGTTTTTGTATAAGTTTATTCGACATTTTGACTTACGAAAATCGACCAAAATACTACGATATAAGGTGA